TGGTGATGATGGTCATGATGGTGATAATGGTGATCATGATGATGGTGATGATGGTGATGATGATGGTGATGATGGTGATGATGATGGTGATGATGATGATGGTGATGATGGTGGTGATGATGATGGTGGTGGTGGTGGTGATGATGATGATGGTGATGATGGTGGTGATGATGGTCATGATGCTCATGATGGTGATGATGATGAAAATGGTGATCATGATGATGGTGTTGATGATGGTGATGATGGTGATGGTGGCGATCATGTTGATGGTGATGGTGTTGGTGATGATGATGGTGATGATGGTGGTGGTGATTCTCCATGACCACGCAACGACTGTTGATGTTGCTGTGCGTGTGGCTTGACTATGACAATTTACCGAGACTCCAAGGTTGGGAGTTCAATTACAGATTGCGGGGGGGTTGGGTTTGACTCATCCCATCATAATCACCACTCCCTCCGGGGTAGATACAATAGGTACCATTCTGTGTGGGGTAGTCAACAGTGGCTGTCCCTATCGACAGACTCGCCCCTGCCATATGAACGTGGAATTTCCACAACTTTATGCTAATTTAAGCCAGAAAAATCACTTTGGCTCGCTTGGTATAATTACAGTTGTGGGCGCAGTGGATAGCACACTGCGTTATGAACTCGGCCACCCGAGTTCGATTCCAGAGCACGTCTAACATCAGTGGCGAGTGATGAAACCTGACCGGCTCCTGTCGCCACTCTCCCAACTCCACTTTTATCGACGCGCATTGGACCGGCGTGGTGAAGTATGGTCAAACATCCCCCACCGTCACCGACAAGGGAGCCGTCGCCCAGCCACGGATTTCGTGAATGACTCTTACAACGATGACGAACGTGATTTAGCTTTGAACCGTGGGCATACAAACAAGATTCCGTATTCAATAATGACAACCACATATTGTTTGCTGCTACTGCGACATTAACAATGATGCATAGGCACAATTAATATTTTTTTTATTTTACTCAATACATTCATCATTACCACTGCGTGTGGAGGGGGGGGGGCGGGTGCGGGCTTAACATAATATACACTTGGCAACGTTTCGGGCAATGACCCTTATTAATTGCAGTATGCTACAGCATAATCTTGGTGATGATGATGATGGCAATAATAAAATAATATATAATCGGCGACGTTTCGGGCAAGACCCTTATTAATCGCAGTATGCTACAACACAATTTTGATGATGATAGCAATAGATGTAGTTGATCAATTATTCCGAGCCACAGTGGATCCACAAAGACAAAGATCCCCCGTGTAGCCTGTAACAGACTGCAGGGGCAAGTGCTGTTAAGCGAGTAGCGCCTATGAATGCCGGCACTGTGGCACACGAGGGGGTGGGTGGCCAGCACCACGCCCGGCCGCCTTTGTCTCCCTAAGTGTCGATTTTCTTTTTACTTTACACAACACACCAGGTACTCATTTGAGGCTGAGACGGCCTAGGGGTAGCCCACGACCGGTTCGGATAATCGTCACCGGTGTCTGTGGTGGTCCGTGAGCGGGAATCGAACTCGGGTGTCTGCCGGGTTCGTTAGCGCGCTAACCGCTGCGCCACCGCTCCCCGCAGTGCATGTACACACACACACACACTCGCTCACACACGCACAATGTTCCTTTCAACAGATGCCGATTTATAGACTCATAAATGGGGATGGCGAGCTTCTGAAAATAACAATTTTGAATGGCAGGGATGGGGGTGGGGGGTGGGGTGTGGTGGGGGTGGGTGGTGGTGGGTAGTGGGGGGTGGTGTGGTGGGGTGGTGGAGGGGGTGGTAATGGGGGAGTGGGGTGGTGGGGGGTGGGGTGGTGGGGGGGTGGGGTGGGTGGTGGTGGGGTGGGTGGTGGTGGGGTGGTGGGGGGGTGGGGTGGGTGGTGGTGGGGTGGGTGGTGGTGGGGTGGTGGGGGGTGGGGTGGTGGGGGGTGGACTGGTGGTGGGGGGGTGGGGTGGGTGGTGGTGGGGTGTGGGGGGGTGGGGTGTGGGGTGGGTGGTGGTGGGGTGGGTGGTAATGGGGGGGTGGGGTGGTGGTGGGGGGGTGGTGGTGGGGGGGGTGTTGGGGGGGTGGTATGGGGGGTGTGATACAAACCGGTTTTGCATCTCGCCTTCCCAGAGAGCGGGAGTAGTAAAATTCGGACTAAACGTCAAATATGATTTTCTTCATTCATGCTCATTGCTTTGCCAATTTCCTGTCTTGTCGGCGCGTGCGTGTGTGTGCGTGTGTGTGTGCGTGTGTGTGTGTGCGTGTGTGTGTGCGTGTGTATGTGCACGTATGTGTGTGCGTGTGTGTGTGTGCGTGTGTGTGCGTGTGTATGTGCACGTGTGTGTGTGCGTGTGTGTGTGCGTGTGTGTGTGTGCGTGTGTGTGTGTGCGTGTGTGTGCACGTGTGTGTGTGCGTGTGTGTGTGCGTGTGTATGTGCACGTATGTGTGTGCGTGTGTGCGTGTGTGTGCGTGTGTATGTGCACGTGTGTGTGTGCGTGTCTGTGTGCGTGTGTGTGTGTGCGTGTGTGTCTGCACGTGTCTGTGTGTGCGTGTGTGTGTGCGTGTGTGTGTGCGTGTGTTTGTGTGTGCGTGTGTGTGCGCGTGTGTGTGCGCGTGTGTGTGTGCACGTGTGTGTGTGCGTGTGTGTGTGCGTGTGTGTGTGCGTGTGTGTGCGTGTCTGTGTGCGTGTGTTTGTGTGCGTGTGTGTGTGCACGTGTGTGTGTGCGTGTCTGTGTGCGTGTGTTTGTGTGTGCACGTGTGTGTGTGCGTGTGTGTGTGCGTGTGTGTGTGTGTGCACGTGTGTATGTGCGTGTGTGTGTGCGTGTCTGTGTGCGTGTCTGTGTGCGTGTGTGTGCGCACGTGTGTGTGCGTGTGTGTGTGTGTGCGTGTGTGTGTGCGTGTTTGTGTGTGTGCGTGTGTGTGCGCGTGTGTGTGCGCGTGTGTGTGTGCACGTGTGTGTGCGCGTGTGTGTGTGCGTGTGTGTGTGCGTGTGTGTGTGTGTGCGTGTGTGTGCGCGTGTGTGTGCGCGTGTGTGTGTGCACGTGTGTGTGCACGTGTGTGTGTGCGTGTCTGTGTGTATGTGTGTGCGTGTGTGTGTACGTGTGTGTGCGTGTGTTTGTGCGTGTGTGTGCGTGTCTGTGTGCGTGTGTGTGCACGTGTGTGTGTGCACGTGTGTGTGTGTGTGTGCACGTGTGTGTGCGTGTGTTTGTGCGTGTGTGTGCGCGTGTGTGTGCGCATGTTGTGTGCGCGTGTGTGTGCGCGTGTGTGTGCGCGTGTGTGTGCACGTGTGTGTGCGCGTGTGTGTGCGCGTGTGTGTGCGCGTGTGTGTGCGCGCGTGTGTGCGCACGTGTGTGTGTGTGCGTGTGTTTGTGCGTGTGTGTGCGTGTCTGTGTGCGTGTGTGTGCACGTGTGTGTGTGCACGTGTGTGTGTGCGCGTGTGTTTGTGTGTGCGCGTGTGTGTGTGCGCGTGTGTTTGTGTGTGCACGTGTGTGTGTGTGTGCACGTGTGTGTGTGCACGTGTGTGTGTGTGTGCGCGTGTGTGTGTGCGCGTGTGTTTGTGTGCGTGGGGGGCGGTAGCGTAGCGGTTAGCGCGCTGCGCTATGAATCCGGCGATCCAGATCCGATTCCAGCTCAGTGAACATCGCCACTGGGGAGACAAAGGCGGCCGGGCGTGGTGCTTGGCCACTTCACTCGTGTCCCGTGCCGGTCTTCATAGGCGCTCGCTAACATCACTCGCCCGTTCAGGCTACGTTGGGGTATTTAACGCGTATGGGGGCGTCCATAAATGACGTCACACGATTTTGGACGATTTTTTACCTCCCCCCCCCCCTTCGTCACACGGCGTCACAAAAAGTCAGACCCCCCCCCCTCTCAAATATGACGTCACAAAGCTCTGCCCCCCCCCCCAAAAAATATATAAAAAATGCTTCAAATCGCTTTAAACTATTGTCATTGTAGCGCGTATTTAATGTGGCGCTGCACTCTGATGTTGTAGGAGAAAACATTTATTAAAAAGTCTATTTAATTAAGTAGAACGTGTTGTCTATATTTATTTAAAGTTGCGAATTTCGATGTGACGTCACATTTCTCAAACACCCCCCCCCCCCCGCCTCGTCACACATCGTCACAAATGTCTGACCCCATCCCCCCCGCCCCTAGGTGCGTGACGTCATTTATGGACGGCTCCTAGGCTCCCACAAGCGACGACCTCACATTTAACCCGCTCCTCTCTCGACTGAACACCACGAGGGCAGGAGGAGGATTTGTCGACGATTCTGGCTGTCGCCTGAAACGTCTCCACGACTCAAGTTGTAAACGTCGTAGCGGCGGGGGGGTTGGTTACTCTACAACGCACTGCCCGTGGGTTTCAAGTAGGAACCAATTGGCCACGTTGTGTTTACGCGACAAACCTTGTTAGTTGGCTGTGTCGGGTGGTGGCGGATTTCACGACGCATTTATATTTACGCGATCTAACCCCCCCCCCCCAAAAAACTTCTCTATTATGGATATACGGGGAGGGTCTTTGTCCTTTGATGGTGGTAGTGGTCGTAGTGGTGATGGTGGTGGTGATGGTTAGTGATGGTGATGGTAGTGGTTATGATGATGGTAGTGATGGTTGGTAGTTGTGATGATGATAATGGTGGTAATGGTGGTGATGGTGATGATGATGGTGGTAGTGGTGATAATGGTGGTAGGGGTGATGGTGGTCGTGGTAATGATGGTGGTAGTGGTGATGATGGTGACAGTGGTGATGATGGTGGTAGTGGTGATGTTGGTAGTGGTAATGGTGGTGCTGATGCTGGTGGTAGTGGTGATGATGGTGGTGATGATGATGGTGGTGATGGTGGTAGTGGTGATCGTGGTGGTGATGAAGATGGTAGTGGTGATAATGGTGGTAGGGGTGATGGTGGTCGTGGTAATGATGGTGGTCGTGGTGATGATGGTGGTGATTGTGACGATGATGGCAACGATGTTGATTTCAATCGTCTCCCGCAGGGTGTGGAGAAGGTGGATCTCGCCATGGTCGAGGTGGTGGACGCCGCTTCTCTGCGGCCGCTGCAGCTGCGCTCGTGCCGCGTGATGGCGCGCGTCAAAGGACTGGCCGCCGAGGCGATCGTCAACCTCGACTACAGCAACGAGGCGGAGAGGAGCGCCGAGGGTGGGGAGGGGTGGGACCGTGGTTGTGTTCACAGTCTATGGGCAGTGCTGAGTCTATGGGTAGTGATGAGTGAGTTTGGTGCAGTGTTGAGTCTATGGGAAGTGTTGAGTCTATGGGGAGTGTTGAGTCTATGGGTAGTGCTGAGTCTATGGGCAGTATCTATGGGCAGTGCTGAGTGTATGGGCAGTGGTGAGTCTATGAACAGTGTTGAGTCTATGGGTAGTGGTGAGTCTATGGGCAGTGTTGGGTCTATGGACAGTGTAGAGTCTATGGGCAGTGCTGAGTCTATGGTCCAGTGTTGAGTATATGGGTAGTGGTGAGTCTATGGGTAGTGGTGAGTCTATGGGTAGTGGTGAGTCTATGGGCAGTGCTGAGTCTATGGGTAGTGATGAGTGGGTTTGGTGCAGTGTTGAGTCTATGGGAAGTGTTGAGTCTATGGGGAGTGTTGAGTCTATGGGTAGTGCTGAGTCTATGGGCAGTGTCTATGGTGCAGTGTTGAGTCTATGGGCAGTATCTATGGGCAGTGCTGAGTGTATGGGCAGTGGTGAGTCTATGAACAGTGCTGAGTCTATGGGTAGTGATGAGTGGGTTTGGTGCAGTGTTGAGTCTATGGGAAGTGTTGAGTCTATGGGGAGTGTTGAGTCTATGGGTAGTGCTGAGTCTATGGGCAGTGTCTATGGTGCAGTGTTGAGTCTATGGGCAGTATCTATGGGCAGTGCTGAGTGTATGGGCAGTGGTGAGTCTATGAACAGTTTTGAGTCTATGGGTAGTGATGAGTGAGTTTGGTGCAGTGTTGAGTCTATGGGAAGTGTTGAGTCTATGGGGAGTGTTGAGTCTATGGGTAGTGCTGAGTCTATGGGCAGTGTCTATGGTGCAGTGTTGAGTCTATGGGCAGTATCTATGGGCAGTGCTGAGTGTATGGGCAGTGGTGAGTCTATGAACAGTGCTGAGTCTATGGGTAGTGATGAGTGGGTTTGGTGCAGTGTTGAGTCTATGGGAAGTGTTGAGTCTATGGGGAGTGTTGAGTCTATGGGTAGTGCTGAGTCTATGGGCAGTGTCTATGGTGCAGTGTTGAGTCTATGGGCAGTATCTATGGGCAGTGCTGAGTGTATGGGCAGTGGTGAGTCTATGAACAGTTTTGAGTCTATGGGTAGTGATGAGTGAGTTTGGTGCAGTGTTGAGTCTATGGGAAGTGTTGAGTCTATGGGGAGTGTTGAGTCTATGGGTAGTGCTGAGTCTATGGGCAGTGTCTATGGTGCAGTGTTGAGTCTATGGGCAGTATCTATGGGCAGTGCTGAGTGTATGGGCAGTGGTGAGTCTATGAACAGTGTTGAGTCTATGGGTAGTGGTGAGTCTATGGGCAGTGTTGGGTCTATGGGCAGTGTTGAGTCTATGGGCAGTGTTGGGTCTATTGGTAGTGGTGAGTCTATGGGCAGTGCTGAGTCTATGGGCAGTGTTGGGTCTATTGGTAGTGGTGAGTCTATTGGTAGTGGTGAGTCTATGGGCAGTGTTGGGTCTATGGGCAGTATTGAGTCTATGGGCAGTGTTGGGTCTATTGGTAGTGGTGAGTCTGTGGTGCAGTGTTGAATCTATGGGCAGTGTTGAGTCTATGGGTAGTGTTGAGTCTATGAGCATTGTTGAGTATATGGGTAGTGGTGAGTCTATGGTGCAGTGTTGAGTCTATGGTGCAGTGCTGAGTCTATGGTGCAGTGTCTACGGTGCAGTGTTGAGTCTATGGTGCAGTGTTGAGTCTATGGTGCAGTGTCTATGGTGCAGTGTTGAGTCTATGGGCAGTGCTGAGTCTATGGTGCAGTGTTGAGTCTATGGGCAGTGCGGAGTCTATGGGCAGTGCTGAGTCTATGGGCAGTGTTGGGTCTATGGACAGTGTGGAGTCTGGGCAGTGCTGAGTCTATGGTCCAGTGTTGAGTCTATGGTGCAGTGTTGAGTCTATGGTGCAGTGTTAAGTCTATTGGTAGTGTTGAGTCTATGGGTAGTGGTGAGTCTATGGTGCAGTGCTGATTCTATGGGTAGTGGTGAGTCTATGGGTAGTGGTGAGTCTATGGGTAGTGTTGAGTCTATGGGCAGTGTTGAGTCTATGGGCATTGTTGAGTCTATGGGCAGTGTTGAGTCTATGGGCAGTGTTGAGTCTATGGGCAGTGTTGAGTCTACGGGCAGTGCTAAGTCTATGAGCAGTGTTGAGTCTAGGGACAGTGTTGAGTCTAGGGACAGTGTTGAGTCTATGGGCAGTGTTGAGTCTATGGTCAGTGTTGAGTCTATGGGAAGTGTTGAGTCTATGGGCAGTGTTGAGTCTATGGGCAGTGTTGAGTGTATGGGCAGTGTGAGTCTATGGGCAGTGTTGAGTCTATGGGCAGTGTTGAGTCTATGGGCAGTGTTGAGTCTATGGGCAGTGTGAGTCTATGGGCAGTGTAAGTCTATGGGCAGTGCTGAGTCTATGGTCAGTGTTGAGTCTATGGGCAGTGTTGAGTCTATGGGCAGTGTTGAGTCTATGGGCAGTGTTGAGTCTATGGGCAGTGTTGAGTCTATGGGCAGTGTGGAGTCTATGGGCAGTGCTAAGTCTATGGTCCAGTGTTGAGTCTATGGTGCAGTGTTGAGTCTATGGTGCAGTGTTAAGTCTATTGGGAGTGTTGAGTCTATGGGTAGTGGTGAGTCTATGGAGCAGTGCTGAGTCTATGGGTAGTGGTGAGTCTATGGGTAGTGGTGAGTCTATGGGTAGTGGTGAGTCTATGGGTAGTGTTGAGTCTATGGGTAGTGGTGAGTCTATGGGTAGTGTTGAGTCTATGGGCAGTGTTGAGTCTATGGTGCAGTGTTAAGTCTATTGGGAGTGTTGAGTCTATGGGTAGTGGTGAGTCTATGGAGCAGTGCTGAGTCTATGGGTAGTGGTGAGTCTATGGGTAGTGGTGAGTCTATGGGTAGTGGTGAGTCTATGGGTAGTGTTGAGTCTATGGGTAGTGGTGAGTCTATGGGTAGTGGTGAGTCTATGGGTAGTGTTGAGTCTATGGGTAGTGCTGAGTCTATGGGTAGTGTTGAGTCTATGGGCAGTGTTGAGTCCACCCTCCTCCTACCTCCTCCCTACTCTTCTCTTACTCCTCCCCCTTCCCCATTCCTCCCTTCTCTCTCCTCCTCCCCCTCCTCTCCCCCTCCTCCTCCACCCTGCCCCCTCCCCACTCTCCTCCTCCCCCCTCTCCTCCTCCCCCCTCTCCTCCTCCCCCCTCTCCACCCTCCTCCCCCCCTGCCCCCTCCCCACTCTCCTCCTCCCCTCTCTCCTCCTCCCTCCTTCCCCATCCCCACCCTCCTCCTCCCCCCTCTCCTCCTCCCCCCTCTCCTCCTCCCCCCTCCCCCTCCTCCTCCCCCCTCCTCCCTCCCCACTCTCCTCCTCCCCCCTCTCCACCCTCCTCCTCCCCCCTGCCCCCTCCCCACTCTCCTCCTCCCCCCTCTCCTCCTCCCTCCTTCCCCCTCTCCTCACCCCTCCTCCCCCATCCCCACCCTCCTCCTCCCCCCTCTCCTCCTGCCCCCTTTCATCCTCCCCGCTGCCCCCTCTCCTCCTCCCCATTCCCCCTCCCCACTCCCCCCTCCCCCCTTCCTCCCTCTACCTCCACTCACGCCCCCCCGCAGTGCTGCTGCTGCTGCTCCCCACGAGCCCCTGCGATGGGGACGCGTGGAGCGTCGTCGGCCTGCAGGCGGTGAGCGGCGGCCGTGCCGGTCAGCTCGCAGCTCCTCGACACCGCGGGGCCCGCAGGAGGTGGAGGAGGAGGTGGAGGAGGAGGAGGAGGTGGAGGAGGAGGTGGAGGAGGAGGTGGTGGAGGAGGAGGAGGCGCTCGCAGAGGCAACACTCTGGGTAGCAGCAGCAGCAGCAGCTTCAGCGGCAGCAGCAGCCAGACTGGTGCCAGGAGAGGGGGGGTCCTCGAAACGTCGCTCACAGACAATGGCTTTACCGCTCCCTCCCACCCCCCCCCCCCCGCGTTCGCCAATAACAACACCGCATCCGTAGCAGTTGGACACAACCATTGGAACCTCATTTGCCAGTAAAAAATGTGATAATTGTTTTTTTACCCTTTTATCTGGCAACAAAACTGACACCTGTTTTACAAGGAGTCATGTTTGCATTGACCACAATACCTGCGGTCGGAATGCAAGCAAAAAACACAACAATGCACCATCAGAGTATGAGAGCTCGGTGTAAGCGTTTTTAAATGCATTTGTAAATGCTTACCCCGAGCTCTCATACTCTGATGGTGCATTGTCTTTGAGTTGTGCGCCTTTGGGCGTCATCTGGTCCAACACCATGTGAGACTAGGCTCTAAGAAAAGCTGTCTCGGGTGTGGACCAATACATTTCAAGGACAGTGCATACATTATCAGAGTTGTGTTTTTTGTTAGTATTTCGACCGCAGGTATTGTGGTCTATGCAAACATGACTCCTTGTAAAAAAAGTGTCAGTTTTGTTGCCAGATAAAAGGGTAAAAAAACAATTATCACATTTTTTTACTGGCAAATGAGGTTCCAATGGCATAAATTTGCTGTTTTTTATTGAAAATGCAATATTTGATATCTCAAAAACCTGATATGATAGACAAAAAACTGATGCCAGATTTGGAATCAGCACCCCAAAATTACCTTAAAACCGTTGGAATACCTTATGCCAGAAAAAGTGTGTTGACCAGTGTAATCTGAGTTGTGTTTTTTGCTTGCATTCCGACCGCAGGTATTCTGGTCAATGCAAACATGACTCCTTGTAAAAAAAAGGTGTCAGTTTTGTTGCCAGATAAAAGGGTAAAAAACAATCATCAGTTGGATTTAAAATTGTGTCCAACTGCTACGGATACAATTGACAGCGTTTTGTGTTCACACTGCAGCACGCCGGCGAGTGCTGTGCTCGTGACGAATTGGCCACGTTTTGCTCACGCGACAAACCTCACTGATTGTCTGTGTCGCGTAGCGGGTTTTAACGACTCGTTTCTATTTTTGATTTAAAGCTTTCGTGACTGCAGGGATTCATATTACATTGGTCAACACACTTTTTCTGGCATAAGGTATTCCAACGGTGTTAAGGTAACGTTGGGGTGCTGATTCCAAATCTGGCATCATTTTTTGTCTATCACATCAGGTTTCTGAGATATCAAATATTGCATTTTCAATAAAAACTGCAGAAGAAAAATATTAAATGAATATGGATATCTACATAAAATGATATTATAAACACACTATCCTAAAAACACAGCACCATGTTTTAACACTAAAGCAGTCACTGACTTATCATAAGTGACAGAGTTAATATCGGGTAAAATCAATGAAAATGGGGTATGCCGATAGCATAAAAATGAGATGTGATAGAGCAAATCTGAGATCAGATTTGGAATCAGCACCCTGAAATTAGTCTAGAACAGCTGCAAAAGTCCAGGCCAGAATTTTTTTTGTTGACCAGTGTTTTTGGTTCTTTCGGTAAAGTCACGTAGAAGGAAGCAATAAAATAATAAAAATAAAATATAATTTTATTGTTTCCCTTCTACATGATTTTACAGAAAGAACCAAGAATATGACTCGTTCATATTCACGCGATCTAACCCAACAACGCCTATTATGGATAATATTGGTCCAATCTTGATTTGAAGCTTCCGTGACTGCATGAATCCATACTCTTTGGTTCTTCCGGTAAAGTCACATAGTGCTATATTATTATTTTTATTTTCTACCTACGTGACTTTACCGAAAGAACCAAAGAGTAATATTGGTCCATACCTGTCAACCCCTTAACAGTGCCCCCTACCTTAGTACAGAACAATTCAGACCTGATTGGTCACCCCGTGTCCTTACAAATCTCGACGTTCAGCCTGCAAAGTCCCATCACAAGGGAGAAACACAAATACAGAGACACAAACATGTAGGAAAAAAATTGCCCGTATTATATCAGTTTTTCATTTTCATTTATTTGGTATAGCCCTGTGAGCCATTGGCTCTTGAATCGGGTGCAACCGCAACAAAAAAAAACATGAACAAGCAAACATCTTAAAGTGACTATGCGCAAACAGAAAAATCCAGGAAAAAAACTGCACCGTATGGATCTGAAAACTCAATTTTCCTGTACACAAATACGTGGTGAACCGTATGGGTTTACAGGTGTGTTCGTCGCGAAAGCCTATTACCTGTTTAAGCTAACAACGACGTACAAGTGTGTGACTGTGTCTATGTGTGTGTCGTGGTTCTGGCCAACCCACCCCCTCGTGTGCCGTGCCGGCCTTTATAGGTGCTACTCGCAAACAGCACTTGCCCCAAAAGTCTGTTACAGGCTACACGGGGGATCTTTGTCTTCGTGGCCTAGCCACCACCACCATCATCATCACCACCACAACCACCATCACGACCACCACGACCACCACCACCACAGCCACCATCACAACCACCACGATCATCACACCACCATCACCACAACCACCATCACAACCACCACGATCAACACCACCATCAACACCACCACCACCACCACCATCACAACCAACACGATTACCACCACCACAACCACCATCACAACCACCACCAAAATCACCACCACAGCCACCATCACAACCACCACGATCACCAACACCACCACCACAACCACCATCACAACCACCACGACCATCACCACCATCATCACCACCACCACAACAACCACCACCACCACCGCACGACTTTGTCCAGCCCTTGCAACGCAGAGGGCTCCGGGTTCGATGATTAATCAACGATGCATTAAATTCACTCGCCCCTTATCTCTCTCTCTCCCCTTATCTCTCCCCCTACTCTCTCCACTCACTCCCTCTCACCCCCCCTCCCCGACACCACGGTTCCAACACCGTCACCGCTCGCAAATCCGCAGTGCTGCCCGAAGGTGCACTCGCCTTCCCGCTACCGCCCGTGCCTCCATCGGGTCGAGTCTGCGTCACCCTGAGGATGATGGCCGAGTTGAAGGCCTCCAGGGATGGGCGGGCGGTGTTTGTGGGCCTTCCTCCCGTCCCTCGGCCCGGCTCAACCCACGGGTGAGGAGGGAGGAGGGAAAGGAGGGGGAGCCCTGCCTACACAGGATCGACGTTCAGAATCGTCAGAACACTTAGTTGTTACCGGAGGAATCCGAAGAGCCGTGAAGCTTCTTCTTGGTCCTTTCGGTAAAGTCACGTAGAAAGGAAAAAATAAAATAAAAATAAAAAGCAGATGCTGTCTTCCCGACAGACCTGTTCTTCGCCTGAGGACGGCTGCTTGCGTTGTGGCCGAAACGTCGTGAGAATTATTTTATTATGTTTTATTTTTATTATTGTATTATTTCCCTGCTACTTGACTTTACCGAAAGAACCAAGAAGATGAATCCCTGCAGTCACGAAAGCTTTAAATCGAAAAAATCCATGAAGTTCTTTTTTGTTTTTAGCGATGTCCAAGTAGGTTTGATGCGACGTGCAGGGATGTTTCTGCAGGGTCACGTCGGACTTGGTGCCAAGCAGACATGAGAATATTTCATCATTCTTGGTTATTTCGGTAAAGTCACGTAGAATGGAAATAAGAAAATAATAAAAATAAAACATAATCAAATAATTCTCACGACGTTTCGGCCACAACGCAGAAACGTCGTGAGAATTATTTCATTATGTTTTATTTTTATTATTTTATTATTTCCCTTCTACGTGACTTTACCGAAAGAACCAAGAAGATGAATCCCTGCAGTCACGAAAGCTTTAAATCGAAAAAGCCATGATGCTCTTTTTTGTTTTACCGATGTCCAAGTCGGTTCGTGCAGGGACGTTACTGCAGGGTCACGTCGTACTTGGTGCCAAGCAGACATGAGAATATTTACTTATACTGCAGGAGGAATCCGATGAGCTATGAAGTTATTTTTTCACAGATGTCCGGTAGGGGCACGGGGTCAGAACGTTACGACAAAAGATACAAAAAAAACACGATAGGAGTGCAAAGTATAGGAAAGGTAAATAAATTACGTTGAAATATACAAGTAAAACTAAAACTATTATATTTTTTTATCTTAGCAGGTAAAACCCAACGAGACATTAACTTTTTTTTTCAGAGGCACGATCCGTGCTCCCGTAACGCCGCGTGTTCTTTTCAGAACGCAAGTTGGCTATCAGGCGATGCATTTATTAGGGAACGCATCTTTTTTTAACAAGGCAGATGCGAATTGGATATAACGTGATCCAGTGAACGGAACTACTCTGCGCGAGTGGGAATAAGCGGTCGTACGGCCGCCTCTGCGTAGCATCGCACAAGGCACTGGGATACTGCTGGATACTTCTAGAAGCTACCCACGTGCCTCAGTCTTTGTTCGGCCTGCGTACGCATCTCGCTGTGCTTTACCACTATTTTATATATGATTTGTCGTAACGCGATTGCCGAGATTTTAAGTTTGCTCGCTCCTTGACGAGAGCCATCGGGTCGGAGGTGATGATGGCGGCGATGATGGTGATGACGGTGATGATGGTGATGATGGTGGCGGCGATGGTGATGATGATGGTGATGGTGGCGGTGGTGGTGGCGGTGGTGGTGATGATGGTGATGGTGATGATGACGATGATGGTGGCGGTGGTGATGATGATGATGGCGGCGATGGTGATGATGACGATGATGGTGGCGGTGGTGGTGATGATGGTGATGGTGATGATGACGATGATGGTGGCGGTGGTGGTGGTGGTGATGACGGCGATGGTGATGATGACGATGATGGTGGCGGTGGTGGTGATGATGGTGATGATGGTGATGGTGATGATGACGATGATGGTGGCGGTGGTGGTGGTGGTGATGACGGCGATGGTGATGATGACGATGATGGTGGCGGTGGTGATGGTGATGATGGCGATGATGGTGGCGGTGGTGGTGATGGCGGCGATGGTGATGATGACGATGATGGTGGCGGTGGTGGTGATGATGGTGATGATGGCGACAATGACGATAATGATGACCATAACGGTGATGACGGTGAAGATGGTGACAATGAAGGCGACGATGACGACGACGACGATGATAATTCCCCGCGAATCTCCTGCGAATGCCGCGTAGAGACGGCACGAACCTGAGCATCTCGGGGCTCCAAGCTCCTCGGGGAGCCAAGGGCAGCGTCAGTGCAGCGGACTACGACTTCAGCTTCGTCATGGAGGCACGGGGTCACTGCCTATTGGCCGGTGAGTACATCGCCAACACCGCCCTCGTTACATGGCACCACCAACGTTGGATCAACGTTGGTCCAACTTTGATCTAACTTTGGTCCAACCAACGTTGGTCTAACTTTGGTCCAACTTTGGTCTAACTTTGGACCAACCAACGTTGTTTGACCAACGTTGGTCCAACTTTGATCTAACTTTGGTCCAACCAACGTTGGTCCAACTTTGTTCCAACTTTGGCCCAACCATATAGGTAAGTTACAATGGATCATGTTCATCTGAGAGTATGTCGTACCTATACAGGTAGTCCCCGAGTTACGATGGCTCCGACTTACGATATTTCGATCTTACGATGGCGATAGCGATACGACAAAATTGTTAAATATTTTACATTTCGCGCGGCAGGCAAACGCAGTAGCGTACGAGGTACGATACTGTACGTTGTTTTTTATATAGGATTGTTTCCTGAAAAAAAACTTTCTATTAAATTGCAGCTCATATAGGTAGGCTAAAAATTTACCTTGTTTTTTTTTCCTTTACATTTTACTGTGCAATACAGTATTGTAATTAATAAATACATACAGTATATAGTTTATACAGTACGGTACTGTAAATTGCTCTGTTTTGCTAAATTATCACCATTCTTTAAGACTCCTGGGTAGGCTTGGCCATCTTCGACTTACGATATTTTCGACTTACGATGGGGTCGTCGTAACGCATCTCCATCGTAAATAGAGGACTGCCTGTATATCACTTGCCCCAACAGCCGAGGCTACACGGGGGGTGGGGGGTCTTTGGCTTTATCTTTGCCCTCTGCCCCCCCCCACCACCACCCTGCTGTCCGTAGGGGTGGACAGCGTGAGCGGTCACCCCGTGAGGGTGGACGCGGCGCCCTGCGCCCCCACCGCACGCTCCGTCTTTGTCACGCTGCTGGATCGCTCGCCCGAGGAGATCCCCATTCGGATCCGTCTCCACCCCAGTGGTACCCGCGGGGGGGGGGGGCGTGGTTGGGGGTGGGGTGGAGGGTGGGGGGGGCGGGGGGGGGCGTGGTTGGGGGTGGGGTGGAGGGTGGGGGGGCGGGGGGGGGCGTGGTTGGGGGTGGGGTGGAGGGTGGGGGGGCGGGGGGGGCGTGGTTGGGGGTGGGGTGGAGGGTGGGGGGGCGGGGGGGGCGTGGTTGGGGTGGGGTGGAGGGTGGGGGGGCGGGGGGGGCGTGGTGGAGGGTGGGGGGTGGAGGGTGGGGGTGGTTGGGGTTGGGGTGGAGGGTGGGGGGTGGAGGGTAAGGGGGTGGGGTGGAGGGTGGGGGTGGTTGTGGTTGGGGTGGAGGGTGGGGGGTGGAGGGTGGTTGTGGTTGGGGTTGGGGTGGAGGGTGGGGGGTGGAGGGTAAGGGGGTGGGGTGGAGGGTGGGGGTGGTTGGGGTGGAGGGTGGGGGTGGTTGGGGTGGAGGGTAGGGGTGGTTGGGGTGGAGGGTGGGGGTGGGGTGGAGGGTGGGGGTGGTTGGGGGTGGGGTGGAGGGTGGGGGTGGGGTGGAGTGTGGGGGTGGTTGGGGTGGAGGGTGGGGGTGGTTGGGGTTGGGGTGGGGGTGGGGTGGAGGGTGGGGGTGGGTGGAGGGTGAGGGTGGTTGGGGGTGGGGTGGAGGGTGGGGGTGGGGTGGAGGGTGGGGTGGAGGGTGGGGGTGGTTGGGGTTGGGGTGGAGGGTGGGGGTAGTTGGGGTGTTGTGGGGGACTGGAGGTTGGTGGATGGGGTAGAGGGTGGGGGGTGGGGTGGAGGGTGGGGGGTGGAGGGTGGGGGGGTGGAGGGTGGAGGGTGGAGGGTGGGGGGGTGGAGGGTGGGGGGGTGGAGGGTGGGGGGGTGGAGGGTGGGGGTGGTTGGGGTGGGGAATTGGAGTCGAGTGGAGGTTGGTGGGTGGGGTAGAGGGTGGGGGTGAGGTAGAGGGTGGGGGGTGGGGTAGAGGGTGGGAAGGGGGTGAAGGGTGGGGACTGGGGGGTGAAGGGTGGGCGTTGGGGGTGGTTGGGGTGGAGGGTCGGGGGTTAGAGGTTTTAACTTCATGGTCCAAATCTGAAAAAATCCACCGCAAATGCCTTGTCGAGTTATACGCAATAATCATCGCCCCCAACTACAACGACTTGACAGGTCCTTCCTGAATAGGAGCAATGAGCGATGCTTTCCTGGTTAAGCATGCCTAATGATTAATTAGCGCGTGCGTACGATGTATAACAACAGGGTGCATTCTCACGTGATAACAATGCCCCTTCCCCCAAGTGGCGTCATAGTGAATGCCACGTGATAACAACGGCCCCTCCCCCCGTTGTTATGACGTGTTTTCGTAGCGAACGCCACGTGTCCCGTGTCGTTGTGTCTGCCCTCCCCCCCGTTGTTATGACGTGCTTTCGTAGCGAACGCCACGTGTCCCGTGTCGTTGTGTCTGCCCTCCCCCCGTTGTTATGACGTGCTTTCGTAGCGAATGCCACGTGTCCCGTGTCGTTGTGTCTGCCCTCCCCCCGTTGTTATGACGTGCTTTCGTAGCGAACGCCACGTGTCCCGTGTCGTTGTGTCTGCCCTCCCCCCGTTGTTATGACGTGCTTTCGTAGCGAACGCCACGTGTCCCGTGTCGTTGTGTCTGCCCTCCCCCCGTTGTTATGACGTGCTTTCGTAGCGAACGCCACGTGTCCCGTGTCGTTGTGTCTGCCCTCCCCCCGTTGTTATGACGTACTTTCGTAGCGAACGCCACGTGTCCCGTGTCGTTGTGTCTGCCCTCCCCCCGTTGTTATGACGTGCTTTCGTAGCGAACGCCACGTGTCCCGTGTCGTTGTGTCTGCCCTCCCCCCGTTGTTATGACGTGCTTTCGTAGCGAACGCCACGTGTCCCGTGTCGTTGTGTCTGCCCTCCCCCCGTTGTTATGACGTACTTTCGTAGCGAACGCCACGTGTCCCGTGTCGTTGTGTCCACTCCCACACCGCGTCGTTTTGTTCTCCGCAGAGTCGAACGCTCCCTACGTGTTGACGGAGCGTGGCGAGATGAGCGCCTGGGAGTACGCGCAGCACCTGGACTCGAGGAAGATCTCCCGATACGTGAACTGCCCCGACAAATTGGTGAGGGTGACCTGTTCGGAAAGCCACGTGTGTGTGTGTGTGCACTGTGTGTGTGCACTGTGTGTGTGTGTGCACTGTGTGTGTGCGCTGTGTGTGTGTGCACTGTGTGTGTGCACTGTGTGTGTGTGCACTGTGTGTGCACTGTGTGTGTGCACTGTGTGTGTGTGCACTGTGTGTGTGCGCTGTGTGTGCGCGCTGTGTGTGTGCACTGTGTGTGTGTGCACTGTGTGTGTGTCGTGGGGAGCGGTGGTGCAGCGGTTAGCGCTACGCTGCGCTACGAACCTGGCGACCCGAGTTCGATTCCCGCTCACGGCAGACACCAGTGACGATTATCTGAACCGGTCCTGGGCCTCCCCTAGGTCGACTCAGCCTCAAATGAGTACCTGGTACGGTGTGTAAACATCGCCGCTAGGGAGACAAAGGCGGCCGTGCGTGGTTATTGACCACCCACCCCCTCGTGTGCCGTGCCGGCCTTTATAGGTGCTCGCTAACAGCACTTGCCCCTACAGTCTGTTAAGGCTATACGGGGGATCTTTGTCTTTGTGTGTGTCCTCACATCCCACCACTACCACCTACCAATGGAATCGAGTTGTCGATCGAGTTTGGTTTTGAGCGACGACTTGACAATTGATCGTCGATTATCCGGCTTATAGGTTTTTTTTGGGGGGGTTAAATCACGTGAAAATAAATGTGTCGTTAAACCCACCACCACCCGACACAGCCAATTAGTAAAAGTTCGTCACGTGAACAGAACGTGGCCAATTCGTTACTAGGTGTGTTGGAGAGCATATTCACAACATTTACAACATTTACGTGACGAACCTTACCAACAGTGACGTGTGGTGAGGTCAATGGCTGGGGAGGCACTGGCTCGTGTCAGAGCCAGATTTACACACTGAGGGGGGCGTGTCCTCGCTGAGGGGGCGTGGCCTCACTGAGGGGGCGTGGCCTCGCTGGGGGGGCGTGGTCTCACTGAGGGGGCGTGGCCTCGCTGAGGGGGCGTGTCCTCGCTGAGGGGGCGTGGCCTCACTGAGGGGGCGTGTCCTCACTGAGGGGGCGTGTCCTCACTGAGGGGGGCGTGGCCTCACTGAGGGGGCGTGGCCTCACCGAGGGGGCGTGGCCTCGCTGAGGGGGCGTGCCTTCACTGAGGGGGCGTGGCCTCACTGAGGGGGCGTGTCCTCACTGAGGGGGCGTGTCCTCACTGAGGGGGCGTGGCCTCACTGAGGGGGGCGTGGTCTCACGGAGGGGGCGTGTCCTCACTGAGGGGGGCGTGTTAGACACGTCCCCCTCAGTGAGGCAGATGTGATAGCTGCCTCCCCTGGTGCTTTTTCATTGCAGTTTCATAACGAGACCAGCGAGCCTAAATCTCTTTATACACATACGTGAAATAAGTTAGCTGGAGTATGGAAGGCGAGGACATGAAATGAAGGGGTCTACAAACATTACATTGGTGACATACAGAGATAGTAACAGGCACGCGCTTATTGCCCGCGCTCCATCCGGTTACTGAGGGGTTGCGCAATCAGAGGGGAGGCTGAGCTCGTCGCTGCCTCACCTCTCGTCTCTTCCTGTATTTGCAGCGGAGCTCCGCAAATTTGGCGATTTTGACGATAAAAATTATTGGAATCGTACAGAAATGACATTTATAACGCAGATCAGTGGAAAAATCGTAATTTTTATTTGATTTGATTGTTCTTTTTTTTTCGTAACACCTATTTTCATTGGAGTGTGACAGGTGAGGCTCTGTCTCCCCTGCCTCCCCTGACCGCACGTCCCTGCCTAACAATTGCCTGTGTTGGGTGGTGGCGGGTTTAACGACACATTTATATTTACGCGATCTAACTCAGAAAACCCATATTATGGATGATATTGGTCGCGAAAGCCTACGTGTTAAACTGATTATCCGACTGCTTATCCGGTGGTCTCGGTCCGATCCTGCCAAACCGCTTCAAAGTCTGTACACCAGTCCAGAGATCGTCAAACATGTGGTTGTTGAAACAAGAGCGTCGTGGTACTACTACACTACATCACCCCATGCAGAATCGTCGAGATTCGAGTGGTAAGTACGGTACTAACGTTTTACATGTTTCGATTTAAAGCTTTCGTGACTGCAGGGATTCATCTTCTTGATTCTTTCGGTAAAGTCACGTAGAATGGAAATAATAAAATAATAAAAATAAAACATTATAAAATAATTCTCACGACGTTTCGGCCACAACGCAAGCAGCCGTCCTCAGGTGAAGAACAGGTCTGTCGATAAGACAGAGTCTGAATGACACGTCCTGGGCTTGGAGCGTCTATTTAAGCTGGGAGGGAGGAGTAAGAGCGCCTTGACAAAATAATTTGCATATCAAGAGGATTTTTTGCATATTTACGTAATATTACACTATGTATTATTCTACCCACCCTACTGCACACCAAAACGTCGTGAGAATTATTTTATTATGTTTTATTTTTATTTTATTATTTCCATTCTACGTGACTTTACTGAAAGAAGCAAGAAGAGGGGTTTTACGTGTCATTAATTTTTGTGTATTTGCATGTTTGTTTATACCAATTTCAATCGGTAAACACATTTAAAAGACGCAAAAAAACACATACAAACAACACCTAAACCTTACTAATTGGCTGCGTCTGGCGGTGGCAGGTTTAACCACGCATTTATATTGACTTAGTCTCACCCAAAAAACCTGTTTTACCTAGACATATGTTGTGCAAAAATAAGCTATTCTAAAATAATAATGAATTAGTGATTATCCGGCGTTTTGAAAATATGGTATCACCTCCCCCTCCCCCAAAGCCGCCAGATAAATCGATGATGTCCCGTATTTGGTTTGTTACACAGATGGTGGTGATGGTGGTGATGGTGGTCTCATTTGGCACCAGTTGCCCGCTTGTTTTTTTTTTTTACACCGGAGATCCGTGGTGCCCCCGTGAACACAGCAGCGGTAGTAGTAGAAGCAACAGCAGCAGCAGCAGCTGCAACGGACAATAGCGTCAATAGTGCAGAGAACGAGTGGAACAACAGCAGGGTCTTTAGTAAATATTGGCACAACTGGCAAACGGGGAGTTGTAACGGTCGTAAACTAAAAAAAACTGCGGGTTTTAATGTGAAAAGGGCTAGATTCAGGTGCAAGTAGGCCCTGCATTTTAGTCTGAACAGCGACACACAAGGGATAGGTTCAGGTGCAAGTAAGCCCTGCATTTTAGTCTTAACAGAGACATACAAGGCTTAGGTTCAGGTGCAAGTAGGCCCTGCATTTTAGTCTGAACAGAGACATAAGGGTTAGGTTCAGGTGCAAGTAGGCCCTGCATTTTAGTCCGAACAGAGACATACAAGGGTTAGGTTCAGGTGCAAGTAAGCCCTGCATTTTAGTGTTAAGAGTGACCTGAATACACGAGAATTCACGAGCAATTTAACATTTCGCTCACTTAAAAAAATATTTTTTTTTATCCTCCTCTTTCGGTTTTGCTGACGAACCAAACCGGCCGATGCGTTCGCCCATGTGACGCGAACAACTCGATTCTCCGGGTGGTGGAGGGTTAGGTGTAAAAACAATAATAATATTGTACCGAAGTGACGGTCTAACACTAAAGAAACTAATTGTGCATCGCAATGCTGGCCGCGAAAGCCGACAAATGAATCTACACCAAATGCACACATTGTTTGATTTTAATTGTCTTGATTATTTTCGATTTTCTCATGTACGTGATGAAGCAGTTGTTTTTTTTCTCCACGATTTCAGTTGTTAACGTGATACTCATTATTCTAACAGTTTTATTGTTAGAATAATAATCATTATTCTAACAGGTTTATTGTTACAATGATGATCATTATTCTACTGTATTATTGTTTTAATGATAATCATTATTCTAACAGTACTATCGTTGTCATGATACTCATTATTATGACAGTGTTATTTTATCATGAAAATCATTACTCGAACAGGATTATTGTTACAATGATAATTATCATTATTCTAACAGTATCATTGTCATAATAATTATCATTTTAACTAACAATACTGTTACAATGATAAACAGTATCATTGTTATAATGATGATCATCATTCTAGTAGTATCATTGTCATAATAATTATCATTATAACCAACAATACTGTTACAATGAAAAACACTCTCATTGTTATAATGATGATCATCATTCTAGCAGTATCATTGTCATAATAATTATCATTATAACAACAATACTGTTACAATGATAAACACTCTCATTGTTATAATGATGATCATAATTCTAGCAGTATCATTGTCATAATAATTATCATTATACCAACAATACTGTTACAATGAAAAACACTCTCATTGTCATAACTACGACCCTGCCGCCGTCATTTCCCCTCCGCAGCACAACATGCTACGGAGACGCATGTACAGGGATGTGATGCTGCTGCCCGCGGTGATGCTGGCCTTCAGCCCGGCACTGCTAGAGCCCTGGGACCAGCCCACGTCCGCCACCACCACCAGCCTGCCCCGTGTCCCCTGCGGCGTGGCAGCGATGGCACGTGGCCCCTGTACCGAGCTCATCTTCGTCGTTGACCGTGCCCTGGCCAATAGCGGCGGTGCTGCCGCTCGGAACGTGAAGGTGTGGAGGAGACTCCCAGGCGTGATCCCTTAATCGTTGTCTTCTTACAGAACAATTCACGTACCTGTCAAACCCTTATCAGTGCCTTCTTACAGAACAGTTCACGTGCCTGTTAACCCCTTATCAGTGCCTTACATACAAATCCACATACCTGTCAAACCCTTAGCAGTGCCTTCTTACAGACCAATTAACATACCTGTCAAACCCTTAGCAGTGCCTTCTTACAGACAAATTCACGTACCTGTCAAACCCTTAGCAGTGCCTTCTTACAGACAAATTCACGTACCTGTCAACCCCTTATCAGTGCCTTCTTACAGAACAATTCACGTACCTGTCAAACCCTTAGCAGTGCCTTCTTACAGAACAATTCACGTACATGTCAAACCCTTAGCAGTGCCTTCTTACAGACCAATTCACATAACTGTCAACCCCTTATCAGTGCCCTACCTTATTACAGACCAATTCACGTACCTGTCAAACCTTATCAGTGTCTTCTTACAGAACAAATCACGTACCTGTCAAACCCTTAGCAGTGCCTTCTTACAGACAAATTCACGTGCCTGTCAAACCCTTAGCAGTGCCTTCTTACAGAACAATTCACGTACCTGTCAACCCCATAGCTGTGTCTTCTTACAGAACAATTCACGTACCTGTCAACCCCTTATCAGTGCCTTCTTACAGACCAATTCACGTACCTGTCAAACCCTTATCAGTGCCTTCTTACAGAACAATTCACCTACCTGTCAAACCCTTATCAGTGCCTTATTACAGACCAATTAACATACCTGTCAAACCCTTATCAGTGCCTTCTTACAAACCAATTCACGTACCTGTCAACCCCTTATCAGTGCCTTCTTACAGAACAATTCGCATACCTGTCAAACCCTTATCAGTGCCTTCTTACAGACAAATTCACGTACCTGTCAAACCCTTAGCAGTGCCTTCTTACAGACCAATTCACGTACCTGTCAAACCCTTAGTAGTGCCTTCTTACAGAACAATTCGCATACCTGTCAAACCCTTAGCAGTGCCTTCTTACAGACAAATTCACGTACCTGTCAAACCCTTATCAGTGCCTTCTTACAGAACAATACACGTACCTGTCAAACCCTTATCAGTGTCTTCTTACAGAACAATTCACGTACCTGTCAAACCCTTAGCAGTGCCTTCTTACAGACAAATTTACATAACTGTCAACCCCTTATCAGTGCCTTATTACAGACCAATTCACGTACCTGTCAACCCCTTATCAGTGCCTTCTTACAGACAAATTAACATACCTGTCAACCCCTTATCAGGGCCTTCTTACAGACAAATTAACATACCTGTCAACCCCTTATCAGGGCCTTCTTACAGACCAATTCACATACCTGTCAAACCCTTATCAGTGCCTTCTTACAGTCCAATTCACATACCTGTCAACCCCTTATCAGTGCCTTCTTACAGACCAATTCACATACCTGTCAAACCCTTATCAGGGCCTTCTTACAGTCCAATTCACATACCTGTCAAACCCTTATCAGTGCCTTCTTACAGACCAATTCACATACCTGTCAAACCCTTATCAGTGCCTTCTTACAGACCAATTCACGTATCTGTCAACCTCTTATTACAGACCAATTTAGACCCTATTGGTCACCCCGTGCCCTTATAAATCCTAACGTTCATCCTACAAAGTCCCGTTATAAGGTAGAAACACAAATAGGCTAAAAAAAAATTGTGCCCGTATAGAAACGGCTGTACGCTGTATGGTCCTGACAACTCAATTTCCCTGTACAAGAATGCGGGCTAAACCGTATGGGTTGACAACTATGCGAGTGGCAGTTGCCCCTCCCCACCCCCTGCTACGTCCCCGGAAGGGTCCAGAAGCGTTCGCGACGATAATCCGACACCAGATGTTCCAGCATTGTCGTGTTCGTGATGGCTGGCAGAGGGCGGAGCTCACCTGCGTTGTGGGCGGGGCTACAAGAAACTGGGCGGAGTTAAATTTCGATTTAAAGCTTTCGTGACTGCAGGGATTCATCTTCTTGGTTCTTTCGGTAAAGTCACGTAGAAGGGAAGTAATAAAATAATGCAAATAAAACATAAAAAAATAATTCTCACGATGTTTCGGCCACAAAGCAAGCAGCCGTCCTCAGGTGTAGACCAGGTCTGTCGGAGAGACATTCATTCAGACGCTGTCTCCCCGATAGACCTGGTCTTCACCTGAGGACGGCTGCTTGCGTTGTGGCCGAAACGTCGTGAGAATTATTTTATAATGTTTTATTGTATTATTTTATTATTTCCATTCTACGTGACTTTACCGAAAGAACCAACAAACTGGGCGGAGTTACATAAACAATGGGTGGAGCTACCAGTGTACTGGGCGGAGCTAACTGGGCAGTGGGCAGAGCTACGTGACGAGTGGAGCTACACCTGCGAAGTGGGTGAAGCTACACGAGTGTGGCGTGGTCATGTAAAAGTAGGCGGAGCTGAGATAGGGGCTGCAAACTCACCCACGTGTCCCGGTTCATCCTCGCAGAAAAACGCGGGAGTTTCATCTCTGTCTGCCATCCCCTCCCTGCCTACCTCCATCCCTCCATCCGCCCCTCCCTCCCCCCTTCCCTCCTCGCGCCAGGAGGCTATGATCGTGCTGCTCAAGAGCCTGCCGATGCGCTGCTACTTCAACGTGGTCAGCTACAGCTCCACCTTTCAGCTGCTGTTCGCACGCAGCCGGCCCTACAGCAACGTGAGTGGCGCGCGCGTGGAGGGAGCCACGCTCCGTGTCAAGTGGGCGGGGGGGGGGGGTCAACTTCAAGGGGAGATGAACTACGGCGTGGACGTGTGTCAACGTCGAGGCCGCGTGTCAGCCTGCGACCGTTTGTGTGCGACTTAGGAGACCCTGCAGAAGGCCTGCGCTTTCGTCCGACGCCTCCGCGGAGAGACGCCGTCCCAGTCGGACCCCGTGGGGCCCCTCGCCTGGGCGCTGGGGGTCGGCACAAAGTGGGGGGGGGCGGCGGCGCCGGCGGGGGCGGCGCGGCCAAGACGTCCGCTCGGTGGGACCGCGCCGGGCAGTCGAGGAGCACCAGGAGGAGCGTCGGTGTCGTCGTTGGGGGCACCAGACGGAGACACGCAGGGGGGAGAGTCGTCGGACGAGCCGCTAGACGAGGCGACTCAAAGGGGGAATTCTTCAGACGAGGCGACCCTAAGGGGTAATTCTTCAGACGGTGCACCAGACGGAGCAACTCGAAGGGGGTATTCTTCAGACCGTGCGACTCTAAGAGGGAATTCTTCAGACGCGGCGACTCTAAGGGGTAATTCTTCAGACGGTGCACCAGATGGAGCAACTCTAAGAGGGAATTCTTCAGACGGGGCGACCCGAGGGCGGTCTGCGAAGGCGCGAGACTTGCCGGGGCGGTCGCGTTCCGGCCGCGCGACGGCCCGGAGCACCGTGCTGCTCTGCCCACGGCAGCTCTTCCTGCTGAGCGGACCTGGAGGAGGCGCCGACGCGGGCCAAGTGCTGAGCATGGCTCGGGTGTACGGGAGAGGCACACGGTGAGGGACCTGCGCACAGCGAGCGCCGCGGCCCGGCGCCGGGCTGGTTTTTCCGGCCACCCCCTAGGCCCATTCAGCCTCAAATGAGTTCACCGGTGCGGTGTAAAAACGTCGCCACTGTTGGGGGCAAGGATTATCCAACATCACCTTGCCAGGCACGCTGAGGAGAGGCTTGCGGAGCCCTAATGCGGTTTCAGGAAAGGGCGGTCCTGCACTGATGCCATATTTTCTGTCCGTCTGCTACAGCTGAGGTATAAGGAATTCCAACAAGACCTACATCTCTGCTTTATTGACCTGGTCAAGGCCTTTGTAACCATCAGTAGGCCTGGGATCTGGGTTGTTCTTCGTGCTTTCGGAGTCCCTGATCCTCTGCTCACGATCATTAAGGACCTTCATGATGGTGAGCGGGCCCAGGTAAAACTACGTGGCCGGGAGTCAGAGCCATTCCCTGTACACATTGGGGTGCGACAGGGATGTCCTCTGGCTTCCGCATTATTTAACATCTATTTTGACCGCGTAGTTCGTAAAGTCTCCAATAGCTGTACCAGATGAATTTCCATTTGGTACAGATATAATGGCAGGCTGATCGATGCCCGGGTGCGGTCAAGGGATGGCTCCCTATTGCTCAACCATGTTATGTATGCCGATGATCTGGTAATTGCTGCTCACTCAGAGGAAGAGTTGGAGATGCTGCTGCTGAAACTGGAGCGTGCCACTAAGAGGGGGGGCCTTACCATCAGCCCCACCAAACTGAGCACCTGTCTGGGTATTTTGTACCATCGGACACTCTACCCCCATAACTCCCAATCGGTGATGGAGCAGTTGTGGAGAGAGTGGAGAGTTTCCCATACCTGGGCAGTGTGCTCATGACCGGCTCTGGTTTGGCAGCGGAGGTCTCACTCCGAATCAGTCTTTTCATCAGTTGCGTAATGCTGTGTGGAAGCTACCTGGTCTGTCGCTCCGCACGAAGCTTCAGGTCTTCTCGGCCACAGTCATTCCCTCCCTTCTCTATGCTTGCGAAACGTGGACCCCCCTAATGGAGCATCTTCGCCGGTTAGAAGCATTTAGGCTGGCCTACCTACGATCCATGCTGGGTTTAACCAGGCTGGATTGTGTGAGGAGCTCACAAATCCTTGAAAGATCTGGGCAAAGTCCCATCGGTGAGCTCCTCCGGCAGGCAAGGCTGCATTGGCTGGGTCATGTAGCCCGCATGCCCAGCCACCGCATGCCTAAACAGCTTTTGCTTGGCCGGATCGAGGGGGCTAAACAGGCACGGCACGGGCTAGAGAAGAAATGGAGTGATGTGGTACAGGAGGACGTGGAGCTGAGTGGACTTGCCGATGACTGGTACCAGCGATGTCAAGATCGGCCTCTGTGGAGGAGACTCGTGAAGGACACTACTGGGCAGTTGGAGGCAGTCGCCCTCCAACAACAACGGAGGGCGGAGGAGCGACGCTCACAACAACAAGTGGAGCGCCGGGTGGCTAAAGCACAGCAAGTTGGCACAGTAGGGGGCACAGGTGGTGCATCAGCCAGTCATCTCGGTCAGTCAGTCGACCCGTGGCACCTGGGTCTGCCCCGTGACCTCCTGCCAGCGGGCGTTCGACACTTCACGTGGCCTCAAGGTGCACATGGCCTGGCACAAGCGTCGTGGTGACGTCACCGCCACTTAGTGGCGAATGGTGGTTGTTGTTGATGGTTGTGATGGTGGTAGTGGTGGAGATTTTGGTGCTGGTGGTGGTTGTGGCGGTTTTGGTGGTGAATGGTGGTGCTGGCGGTGATGGTGGTGATGGTGGTCGTGGTGGTGGTGATGGTGGTTGCGGCGGTGGTGATTGTGGTAGTTGTGGTTGTTGTGGTGGCCACGCTTCTGCACGTGGCTGCCTGTAATCCTCCAACGCCGTGGAGGCAGCAGCAGCAGCTGCAGCGAGGGGTTGCTGGATCACCGCAGCACCCATGTTGTTGCGAAACCCCCCCCACCCCTCCTCTTCCCCCCCCCCTTCTCTCCCCCCCACCTTCTCTTCCCCCCCCCCTCCTCTTCCCCCCCCCTCCTCTTCCCCCCCACTTCTCCCCCCACCTCTCACCCCCCTCACTTCTCCCCACCCCACCTCTCCCCCCACCTCTCCCCCCCACCTCTCCCCCCCACCTCTCTCCCCCCCACCTCTCCCCCCCACCTCTCCCCCTCCCTCTTCTCTCCCCCCTTCTCTTCCCCCCCCCCATCTCTTCCCCCCCCCCCATCTCTCCCCCCCCCCACTTCTCCCCCCACCTCTCTCCCCCCCCACCTCTCCCCCCCCCACCTCTCTCCCCCACCTCTCTCCCCCACCTCTCCCCCCCCTTCTCTTCCCCCCCACTTCTCCCCCCACCTCTTCCCGCCCCCCACTCCTCTTCCCCCCCCACCTCTCTCCCCACCTCTCCCCCCACCAGCTGCTTCACGTTCGCCGCGGCCTGCGGAGCGTCCCCGCCGCGCTTCCTGTCGGCGCTGGCCGCCCTCTCGCGGGGTCACGCCGAGGTCATCCAGCCCGGCGAGCGCTTCCAACCGAAGGTGACGACGGGCGGATTTGAGTGGTGGGGGGGAGGGAGAGGGGTGGGGGGGGAGAGGGGTGGGGGGTGGGGTGGGTGGGAGAGGGGTGGGGGGTGGGAGAGGGGTGGGAGAGGGGTGGGGGGTGGGGTGGGTGGGAGAGGGGTGGGGGGTGGGGTGGGTGGGAGAGGGGTGGGGGGGGGAGAGGGGTGGGGGGTTGGGAGAGGGGTGGGAGAGGGGTGGGGGGTGGGGTGGGTGGGAGAGGGGTGGGGGGGGGAGAGGGGTGGGGGGTTGGGAGAGGGGTGGGAGAGGGGTGGGGGGGGGAGAGGGGTGGGGGGTGGGGTGGGTGGGAGAGGGGTGGGGGGGGGGAGAGGGGTGGGGGGTGGGGAGTTGGGAGAGGGGTGGGGGGGAAAGGGCTGCTTGCGTTGTGGCCGAAACGTCGTGAGAATTATTTTATTACTTCCCTTCGACGTGACTTTACCGAAAGAACCAAGAAGATGCCCGTGCATTATGCAGGATTAGCAGCATCAAAGGGAGGGAGTAGGGTTAGCATTAATAAAGGGGAAGGAATGTTAATAGTATGGAGCTGCAGCAACTAAGTGATCATATACTCTTAGTTCTTTCGGTAAAGTCACGTAGGTAAAAAATGAAATTAAAATTAATAAAAATAAAATAATAAAATCACGACGTTTCGGAGGCAACACAAGTCTCCGTCATCAGGTGGGACCATCACAGCCAGATTTGCTGCATCAAGTCTGGCTGTGACGGTGTTGCCTCCAAAACGTCGTGATTTTATTATTTTATTTTTATTAATTTTAATTTCACTTTTTTACCTACGTGACTTTACCGAAAAAACCTAAGAGTATGAATCCTTGCAGCCACGAAAGCTTCAAATCTAGAATTGATCATATAACTCCTCGGGGCAGCTCCTTCGGGGCCTGAAACGCGCCCTGGAGCCGGCGCTCGCGGCCGTCAGCGTGGAGTGGCGGCTGCCCCCGGGGTTGCTGGCGCTGCCCGCCGCGCCGGCGCCCTCCAGCCTCCTGCCGGGCGACTCGCTCACCGCCTGCGCCTTCCTCTGCGACGCCGCCGCCTTCGCCAAGCAGCAGCAGCCGCAGCAGCAGCCGCAGCAGCAGCGGCGGTGGAGGCAGCAGCAGGAGCAGCAGGAGCAGCGGAGGCAGCAGCAGCAGGAGCCGCAGCAGCAGCAGGAGCAGCCACAGTGGAGGCACCAGCAGGAGCAGCAAGAACGGAGGCACCAGCAGCAGGAGCAGCCGCAGCAGCAGCAGGAGGAGCGGCAGGTGGGGCGGGGGGGTTGGGTTAGGGGGGTAGGGAGGGTCGCGGTGGGGGTTGGTGACGCGGGGGGTGGGGGTGATACGGTGGGGGGGGGGGGTGACATAGTGGGGGGTGATGTGTTAAGGGTGGGTGAAGTGGGGGGGGGGGTGACGCAGTGGGGGGTGATGTGGTAAGGGTGGAGGGGGGGTGATGTGGTAAGGGTGGGGGGGTGATGCGGTGGGGGGGGGGTGATGCGATAGGGGTGGGGGGAGTGAGGTGGAGGGGGGTGATGTGGTAAGGGGGGGGGGGGGTGACGCAGTGGGGGGGGGGGTGACGCAGTGGGGGGGGGGGGGGTGACGCAGTGGGAGGTGATGTATTAAGGGTGGGGGGGTGAGGTGGTGGTGGGGGGGGTAACGCAGTAGTGGGGGAGGAGGGGGGTGCAACCCGCAGGGAGTAGGGGCGATAGGAAGTTTGGCTAATCCCATCCACGGCAGTGGTGACGGTCAAAGTTCCGCACAGATGGATGCAAGAATGCGGTACTGAGTTGCGATGTCCTCACCACCTCACAGCCCGCTCCTCCAACACCTGGCGTTCCCAAATATATGAAGAACAACAACAACAACCGCCATTCGCCACTAAGTGGCGGTGACGTCACCACGACGCTTGCGCCAGGCCAAGTGCACCTTGAGGCCACGTGAAGTGTCGAACGCCCGCTGGCAGGAGGTCACGGGGCAGATCCAGGTGCCACGGGTCGACTGACCGAGATGACCGAGATGACTGGCTGATGCACCACCTGTGCCCCCTACTGTACCAACTTGATGTGCTTTAGCCACCATGAACACACCCACACACACACAGTACATGTCTGCAGGGGATCACTGTGTGACTGTGTACAGCAGGAGCAAGACACGGACTTCACGTCGTCCGGAGCCGGAGTGAGAAAGAACCCGCAGCGCCAGGGATCAAGCTGGGACAAGCCAGCCTCCACTCCAGGATCCAACGTGGGAAAAGGTCCGGATCTTGATTTGTCGATGAGCCACAGAGCGCCTACGCTGAACACACGCGCGGATCGTGAGCCGTATCGATTCAATCCGACACATCACGGGCAAGAGACTCCATGCCCACTACCGTCCATGTATGGGCAGATCGGTGATTTCTTGGGGTGTCCGATGTGATTGCCCCTAGGCGACACGAGAGAACGGTGATTTCTTCATGTGTCCGATGTAATTGCCCCTAGTCGACACGAGACATCGGTGATTTCTTCGAGTGTCCGATGTCATTGTCCCTAGGCGACACGAGACATCGGTGATTTCTTGGGGTGTCCGATGTGATTGCCCCTAGGCGACACGAGAGAACGGTGATTTCTTCGGGTGTCTGATGTCAGTGTCTTTAGCCAACACGAGACATCGGTGATTTCTTCGTGTGTCCGATGTCATTGTTCCTAGTCGACACGAGACATCGGTGATTTCTTCGCGTGTCCGATGTCATTGTCCCTAGGCGACACGAGACATTGGTGATTTCTTCTTGCGTCCCGTGATGTTTGTGACATGCGCACGTGAATTGGGCTCTGGTGCGTCGTGCTGCTGGCTGCAATGAAGGTGGTTTCAAAGTCAAAGGCTCTCACTCTCTCTGTGTGCGTGTGTGCGTGTGTGGTACAGGTGTCAGGACGGGCGCACCGAGGGATCTGAAGCGAGGGGTGAGCGAGGCGGCAGTCAGCGCGGATCGCGCGGGACGCTGTTCCCGGACAACGGTAAACGGCGGTGCCGGTGCACAGAGACAAAGACAAAGAGGATCACCCACCCGTGTAGCCTTAACACGACTGTTGGAGCAGGTGCTCATAGTAGAGTTGGTGGTGTTGTTGTTGTTTTGGAGACGAGCGCCACCACCATCACCAGCACCATCACCACCACCATCACCACCATTACCACCATTATTATCACCACCACCATCACCACCATTACCACCATTATCATCACCACCACCATCACCACCATTACCACCATCACCACCATTATCACCATCACCACCATTATCACCAGCACCATCACCACCACCATCATCACCACCATTATCATCACCACCACCATCATCACCATCACCACCATTAGTCCCTGCTGTGTCGTCTGAAACAGAGGGGGTAACGGTGATGTCACCACAGAGGCAAGTGCTGTCTCTCTCCCTGTCTCTCTCCCTGTCTCTCTCCCTCCGTCTCTCTCCCTGTCTATCTCCCACCATTTCTCTGTCTCTCAGTCTCTCTCCCTCCATCTCTCTGTTTCTCCATCCCCATGTCTCTCTCCCTGTCTCTCTCCCTGTCTCTCTCCCTGTCTCCCTGTCTCTCTCCCTGTCTCTCTCCCTGTCTCTCTCCCTGTCCCTCTCCCTGTCTCCCTGTCTCTCTCCCTGTCTCTCTCCCTGTCTTTCTCTGTCTCTCGCTCTGTCTCTCTCCCTGTCTCCCTGTCTCTCTCCCTGTCTCCCTGTCTCTCTCCCTGTCTCCCTGTCTCCCTCCCTGTCTCCCTGTCTCTCTCCCTGTCTCTCTCCCTGTCTCTCTCCCTGTCTCCATGTCTCTCTCCCTGTCTCCCTGTCTCCCTCCCTGTCTCCCTGTCTCTCTCCCTGTCTCCCTATCTCTCTCCCTATCTCCCTGCCTCTCCCTGTCTCCCTCCCTGTCTCTCTCCCTGTCTCTCTCCCTGTCTCTCTCCCTGTCTCTCTCCCTGTCTCCCAGTCGGTGGAGCGTCTCCCGGCAGGGCCGAGCGAGCCGCGTCCCCCGACATCGTTCGCTCGCAGCGTCTCCACGCCGGACGGCCGCCGCCCGCGTCTCGATCCCTCCCATCCTCAAGCCCGGCCACCCGCCGCTCGCGATCTGCCAGGTGACGGTACAGCGCCCGCAATTGTGATGTGAACTACCTCGCCCGGTACACGGGAGGTCATGGGTTCCATCCCGACCCTGACGATGCTGTTTATTTGGAGTTTGCGTGTCTCTCTCTCTCTCCCCGTGGCGAGATGTGAACTACCTCGCCCGGTACACGGGAGGTCGCGGGTTCCATCCTGACCCTGACGCCTGTTGTATATTTGGAGTTTGCGTGTCTCTCTCTCTCCCCGTGGTGAGATGTTAACTACCTCGCCTGGTGCACAGGAGGTCGCGGGTTCCATCCCGACCCTGACGCCTGCTGTATATTTGGAGTTTGCGTGTCTCTCTCTCTCTCCCCGTGGCGAGATGTTAACTACCTCGCCTGGTACACAGGAGGTCATGGGTTCCATCCTGACCCTGACGCCTGCTGTATATTTGGAGTTTGCGTGTCTCTCTCTCTCTCCCCGTGGCGAGATGTTAACTACCTCGCCTGGTACACAGGAGGTCGTGGGTTCCATCCTGACCCTGACGATGCTGTTTATTTGGAGTTTACCTGTCTCTCTCTCGGTGGCTAGGAGATGTTGACTACCTCGCCTGGTACACAGGAGGTCGTGGGTTCGATCCCGACCCTCACGCCTGCTGCTGTATATTTGGAGTTTGCGTGTCTCTCTCCCCGTGGTCGCGTGGATTTTTCTCCAGGTCCTGCGTTTTTTTCCTTACAAATTGAGATTCAACATCACGCGTTTAGAGTGTTTGGCTGCTGTTATAATATTCCACTCGATGATAAGCCACTTGGTTGAGACATCACGTGTGAAGGGTAGGGCGCTTCTGGTAAAAGAGCTACATAGCTCAGTGGGCCTTACCTGGTTAAATAAAACTAATTTAAATTTAGATTTAAAGCTTTCGCGACTGCAGGCATTCATATTCTTGGTTCTTTCGGTAAAGTCACGTAGAAGGGAAACAATAAAATAATAAAAATATTAAACAATAACATTCTCACGACGTTTCGATTGCAGCACAAGCAATCAACATCATCAGGTGTGACAACCACAGCAAGAACTTTACCGAAAGAACCAAGAATACAACCAATTTGGTTTTTAGTTTAAATTAAAACTGAACTATTTTACCTTACAGCGGGTAAACACCACTGAGTTATGAACTCTTCTTTGGGTGCGGTGTGACGCAGTGGTGTGACGCAGCGGTGTGACCCAGCGGTGTGACCCAGCGGTGTGACGCAGCGGTGTGACGCAGCGGTGTGACCCAGCGGTGTGACGCAGCGGTGTGACGCAGCGGTGTGACGCAGTGGTGTGACGCAGTGGTGTGACCCAGCGGTGTGACGCAGTGGTGTGACGCAGCGGTGTGACCCAGCGGTGTGACGCAGCGGTGTGACGCAGCGGTGTGACGCAGCGGTGTGACGCAGCGGTGTGACCCAGCGGTGTGACGCAGTGGTGTGACGCAGTGGTGTGACGCAGCGGTGTGACGCAGTGGTGTGACGCAGTGGTGTGACGCAGCGGTGTGACGCAGCGGTGTGACGCAGCGGTGTGACCCAGTGGTGTGACGCAGTGGTGTGACGCAGTGGTGTGACGCAGCGGTGTGACGCAGCGGTGTGACGCAGTGGTGTGACGCAGCGGTGTGACGCAGCGGTGTGACGCAGCGGTGTGACGCAGCGGTGTGACGCAGCGGTGTGACGCAGTGGTGTGACGCAGTGGTGTGACGCAGTGGTGTGACGCAGCGGTGTGACGCAGCGGTGTGACCCAGCGGTGTGACGCAGTGGTGTGACGCAGTGGTGTGACCCAGCGGTGTGACGCAGCGGTGTGACGCAGTGGTGTGACGCAGCGGTGTGACGCAGTGGTGTGACGCAGCGGTGTGACGCAGTGGTGTGACGCAGCGGTGTGACGCAGCGGTGTGACCCAGCGGTGTGACGCAGCGGTGTGACGCAGTGGTGTGACGCAGCGGTGTGACGCAGTGGTGTGACCCAGCGGTGTGACCCAGCAGTGTGACGCAGTGGTGTGACGCAGCGGTGTGACGCAGCGGTGTGACGCAGTGGTGTGACGCAGCGGTGTGACCCAGCGGTGTGACCCAGCGGTGTGACGCAGCGGTGTGACCCAGCGGTGTGACGCAGCGGTGTGACGCAGTGGTGTGACGCAGTGGTGTGACGCAGTGGTGTGACGCAGTGGTGTGACCCAGCGGTGTGACGCAGTGGTGTGACCCAGCGGTGTGACGCAGCGGTGTGACGCAGCGGTGTGACGCAGCGGTGTGACGCAGTGGTGTGACGCAGCGGTGTGACCCAGCGGTGTGACGCCGTGTGCCGTTCTCTCCGCAGCTGGGAGTCTGACGTTTCTGGCGACGTGGCCCGAGCAGGAGAGATCCACCGCGCCGGGAGCTCCGGAGAAGAAGCACGCCGGCTCGCCGCTCGGAGGTGCCCACCCACACAGTGCGCCCTCGCCGTGGGCCAGGGAACGTCGTTTTTGTTGTTGATGATGTTGATGTTGTGTTGGTGTTGTTGATGTTGTTGATGATGTTGTTGTTGTTGATGTTGTTGTTGATGTTGATGTTGTTGTTGATGTTGTTGATGTTGTTGATGGTGTTGTTGATGATGTTGATGTTGTTGATGATGTTGATGTTGTTGATGTTGTTGATGTTGATGTTGTTGATGGTGTTGTTGATGTTGTTGTTGATGTTGTTGTTGTTGGTGTTGTTGGTGATGTTGTTGATGATGTTGTTGATGTTGTTGATGATGTTGTTGTTGTTGCTGTTGATGATGTTGTTGATGTTGATGTTGTTGATGGTGTTGTTGTTGTTGATGTTGTTGATGTTGTTGTTGTTGGTGATGTTGTTGATGTTGTTGATGATGTTGTTGTTGATGTTGTTGATGTTGTTGTTGATGATGTTGTTGATGTTGTTGTTGATGTTGTTGATGTTGTCGTTGATGTTGTCGTTGATGTTGTTGATGTTGTCGTTGATGTTGTTGTTGATGTTGTTGATGTTCTGCTGCCTTGCCCAAGCTTCGTGATGCGATCGTCATGAATGTACAGTGTGTGACTTCGGGCAAGTTGTAGTGTATTTTTGTTTATTCATTTTGAGTAACTTGCTAATCATCACCATCGTCATCGTGACGACGGCGACGATGATGATGACGATGCTGCTCCAATTCCGTCGTGAATTCTCGTTGGCAGAACCGAAGCGTCGGGGGGCGAAACAACAACAACAACAAAGATGCGGACTGGATCGCCAGACCTCCGCAACGGACCACCGTGACCCCCGCGACGCAAAACCCGGCACGGATCACCGGCCGCGCAACGACGCAGACCCGCGCCCCCACGGACCCCCCCCCACTGAGCGCTCGCCCCGCCGGCGGGAGCCGGGGTTTGCGGGGAGCCCGGAGGAGCCGGATCCGGATTCCGGCCTCGCCGTGATCCGGGCCGTGTTTGACGGGCGGCCCGTGGAGTGGCGGGCGCGGTTCGACGTGCGGGCGCTCATGGAGGAAGGGTCGCCCGCCGGCGCCGTCGACGCCGACGCGGAATCCGGGGGCCAGATCCACCTCGTGGCGGCGAGGGCGCTCGCCCGCGAGCTCGAGAGGAAGGCCGAGAGGGAGGCGTGTGATAGCGGTGGGTGGCGAAGCCGAGTTCCACCTCCTCCAATGCCCCCTGCCCACTCCACTGCTCTCACGTGCCACCACTAACGATGACAACAGCCAGTCGGGCTCGGAGATGTTAACTAACTCACCTGGTATGCGGGAGGTCGCGGGTTCGATCCCGAACCTGAACGCCTGCTGTTGTATATTTTGAAGTTTTGCACGTCTCCCTCCACGTGGCTAGATGTTAACTACCTCGTCTGATATGCGGGAGGTCGTGGGTTCGATCCCGTCTCTGATCACTGCTGTTGTATATTTGGAAGTTTTGCGCGTCTCTCTCCACGTGGCTAGGAGATGTTAACTACCTCGCCTGGTATGCGGGAGGTCGCAGGTTCGATCCCGAACCTGAACGCCTGCTGTTGTATATTTGGAAGTTTTGCGTATCTCTCTCCACGTGGCTAGGAGATGTTAACTATCTCGCCGGGTATGCGGGAGGTCGTGGGTTCGATCCCGAACCTGAACGTCTGCTGTTGTATATTTGGAAGTTTTGCGTGTCTTCGGCACTTTGCTTCGTTCATCATTTCGTAATTTTTTTTTAAAATCCCTCCCTCAATGCATCCCATCCCGTGGTCGTCGCCCCCCCATCTCTCTCCGTCTCCCTGTGTCCGTTAACTCCCCGCCGCCCCACCGCCCTTCCCCCGCCGGCAGCTCGTAGCCGGCGCTGGCTGGCGCTGGCGGTGCGCGCCAGCCGAGCGAGCGGCGTGCCGTGCCGCCACGCTCGCCTCGCCAGCGTCGACGCCGGCTCGGGCGCCCCGCTCAGCTTCCCCGCCCACGTCAGGGCCGCCACCGAGAGCCACCACGACGGTGAGTAGCCCGCACGGCGGAGGTCACGGCGGGGTCACAGCGGGGTCACTCCCGGTCACATAGGGGCAATACACCTCCGGTCACGCTCGGTCACGTGGGGTCACGCGGGGTCACATAGGGGCATCACACCCCCGGTCACGTGGGGTCACGTGGGGTCACGCCGGGTCACGCTCGGTCACGTGGGGTCACGCCAGGTCACGCACAGCGAGGCAGCCAGCCAGGCATGCAGGAAGCAAGCCAAGCATGCAGGAAGCCAGGCAGGCAGGCAGGTGGGTGATCCTCTACGTGGAGTGGAGAGAGCGAGAGTGCAGTGACCCCTCCGTGACCCCTCTGTGACCCTTCCTTGACCTCTCCCGATCACAGACGCAGTGCAGCAGCCGGTGTTCCCCTCCGCTCCGTCGCAGAGCTCCCTCGACGGCCTCCTCGCCTCCAGGTAGCAGCAAACCGCGTCACACACGCAGCGTCACACACACAGCGTCACACACGCAGCATCACACACGCATGCAGCGTCACACACGCAGCGTCACACACGCAGCGTCACACACGCAGCATCACACACACACGCAGCGTCACACACGCAGCGTCACACACACAGCGTCACACACGCAGCGTCACGCACACACGCAGCGTCACACCCCACCACGTCACACACGCACACACGGTCACACACGCAGCGTCACGCACACACGCAGCGTCACACACCACCACGTCACACACGCAGCGTCACACACCGCAACGTCACACACACAGCGTCACACACGCAGCGTCACGCACACACGCAGCGTCACACACACGCAGCGTCACACACCACCACGTCACACACAGAGCGTCACACACGCAGCGTCACACACGCACGCTGCGTCACACACCACAACGTCACACACACAGCGTCACACACACGCAGCGTCACACACGCACGCAGTATCACACACCACCGCGTCACACACGCAGCGTCACACACACGCAGCGTCACACGCACGCAGCGTCACACGCACACAGCGTCACACACGCACGCAGCATCACACACACAGCGTCACACACGCAGCGTCACACACGCAGCATCACACACACACGCAGCGTCACACACACAGCGTCACACACGCAGCGTCACACACGCAGCGTCACACACGCACGCAGCGTCACACACCACCGCATCAAACATGCAGCGTCACACACACGGAGTCACACATACAGCGTCACACAAAAAGACAAAGATCCCCCCCGTGTAGCCTTAACAGACCGTTGGGGCAAGTGCTTTTAGCGAGTAGCAGCTATGAAGGCCGGCACAGGACACGAGGGGGTGGGTGGCCAGCACCACGCCCGGCCGCCTTTGTCTCCCCAGTGGCGATGTTTACACACCGCACCAGGTACTCATTTGAGGCTGAGTCGACTTAGGGGAGGCCTAGGACAGGATCAGATAATCGTCACCGGTGATAGCCATGATCGGGAATCGAACCCGGTCGCCAGGTTCGTAGCGCAGCGTAGCGCTAACCACTACGCCACCGCTCCCCACACACAACAACCGCCATTCGCCACTAAGTGGCAGTGACGTCACCACGACGCTTGTGCCAGGCCATGTGCACCTTGAGGCTATCACGTGAAGTGTCGAACGCCCGCTGGCAGGAGGTCACGGGGCAGACCCAACAGGTGCCACGGGTCGACTGACCGAGATGACTGGCACATACACACTGACAACAACAACCGCCATTCGCCACTAAGTGGCGGTGACGTCATCACGACGCCCGTGCCAGGCCTCTGTGCACCTTGAGGCCACGTGAAGTGTCGAACACCCGCTGGCAGGAGGTCACGGGGCAGACCCAGCAGGTGCCACGGGTCGACTGACTGAGATGACTGAGATGACCGAGATGACTGGCTGATGCACCACCTGTGCCACCTACTGTGCCAACTTGCTGTGCCTTAGCCACCCGACGCAAGCGTTACCTTGCGTGCGTGCGGTGCGCTGCGTCGCCGCAGGCTGGCGCGCCGGTGCAGCCAGGCGCTGCAGAAGGCGTCGTGCCCCAGCCTGTGGAAGGGGCCCGGCAAGGCGCCGGCGCCGCGGGCAGAGGACGACCTCGGCACGCCGGCCTACGCCGCCCTGGTGAGCGCCCCCCGCCGCCGCCGCCGTTCCCATCGCGCACTCGCGCGACGCTGCGCCCCACGGCACATCGCGACGACCCCATCCCCCTTGTGTGTGTGAGTGGGTGAGTTGCAGGACTTGGCGGATTCATGGGTGAGTGGGGGTGAGTGGGTGACGGAGTGAGTGAGTGACGGAGTGAGTGGGTGACGGAGTGGGTGACGGAATGAGTGAGTGGGTGATGAAATGGGTGAGTGAGTGAGTGGGTGAGTGAGTGAGTGGGTGATGGAGTGAGTGGGTGACTGAATGGATGAGTGGGTGACGGAATAAGTGAGTGGGTGAGTGAGTGAGTGGGTGATGGAGTGAGTGGGTGACTGAATGGATGAGTGGGTGACGGAATAAGTGAGTGGGTGAGTGAGTGAGTGGGTGATGGAGTGAGTGGGTGACTGAATGGATGAGTGGGTGACGGAATAAGTGAGTGGGTGAGTGAGTGGGTGGGTGATGGAGTGAGTGGGTGACTGAATGGATGAGTGGGTGACGGAATAAGTGAGTGGGTGAGTGAGTGAGTGGGTGATGGAGTGAGTGGGTGACTGAATGGATGAGTGGGTGACGGAATAAGTGAGTGGGTGAGTGAGTGAGTGAGTGGGTGATGGAGTGAGTGGGTGACTGAATGGATGAGTGGGTGACGGAATAAGTGAGTGGGTGAGTGAGTGGGTGGGTGATGGAGTGAGTGGGTGACTGAATGGATGAGTGGGTGACGGAATAAGTGAGTGGGTGAGTGAGTGAGTGGGTGATGGAGTGAGTGGGTGACTGAATGGATGAGTGGGTGACGGAATAAGTGAGTGGGTGAGTGAGTGAGTGGGTGATGGAGTGAGTGGGTGACTGAATGGATGAGTGGGTGACGGAATAAGTGAGTGGGTGAGTGAGTGGGTGGGTGATGGAGTGAGTGGGTGACTGAATGGATGAGTGGGTGACGGAATAAGTGAGTGGTGAGTGAGTGAGTGGGTGATGGACGTGAGTGGGTGACTGAATGGATGAGTGTGGTGACGGAATAACGTGAGTGGGTGAGTGAGTGAGTGAGTGGGTGATGGAGTGAGTGGTGACTGAATGGATGAGTGGGTGACGGAATAAGTGAGTGGTGTTGAGTGATTGGGTGATTTGGAGTGAGTGGGACTGAATGGAATGAGTGGGCGACGGAATAAGTGAGTGGGTGAGTGAGTGAGTGGGTGGATGGAGTGAGTGGGTGACTGGACATGGATGAGTGGTTGACGGAATAATGTGAGTGGGTGATTTGCTGTGGATGGGTGATGGAGTGAGTGGGTTGACTGAATGGATGAGTGGGTGACGTAATAAGTGAGTGGGTGAAGTGAGTGAGTGGGTGATGGAGTGAGTGGGTGACTGAATGGATGAGTGGGTGACGGAATAAGTGAGTGGGTGAGTGAGTGAGTGGGGTGATGGAGTGAGTGGGTGACTGAATGGATGAGTGGGTGACGGAATAAGTGAGTGGGTGAGTGAGTGGGTGGGTGATGGAGTGAGTGGGTGACTGAATGGATGAGTGGGTGACGGAATAAGTGAGTGGGTGAGTGAGTGAGTGGGTGATGGAGTGAGTGGGTGACTGAATGGATGAGTGGGTGACGGAATAAGTGAGTGGGTGAGTGAGTGAGTGGGTGATGGAGTGAGTGGGTGACTGAATGGATGAGTGGGTGACGGATTGAGTGAGTGGGTGAGTGAGTGGGTGAGTGAGTGGCGGAATGAGTGAATGGATGAGTGGATGAGGGAATGAGTGAGCGGGTGACTCAATGAATTAGTGGGTGACTGAATGAATGAGAGAATGGGTGACTGAATGGGTGAGTTGGTGACTGATTGAATGAGTGGATAAGTGAGTGGCGGAAGGAGTGGGTGACGGAATGAGTGAGTGGGTGAGTGATTGAGGGAATGAGTGAGCGGGTGACTGAATGGGTGAGTGGGTGACTAATTGAATGAGTGGGTGAGTGAATGAGTGAGTGGGTGGCTGCACGTATGTTGAACTTCTTTCGCACCGTACATAGCCAACCGTGCTGATCATCGGTGCGGGAGTGAGTGGTCGACACAGGCGGCCGGGCGCGGTGATTGACCACCCACGCTGTCGTGTGCCACAGTGCCGCCCTTCATCGGCACTTGCCTCCACGCTCTGTTGAGGCTATACAGGGTTTAGGGGGATCTTTGTCTTTGTGACTGCGCGTGCATCTCTGACAGCTGGACCTGCAGGAGGCCGAGGGCACTTGCCCCCACGCTCTGTGGAGGCTATACGGGGGGTGGGGCATCTTTGTATTTGTGACTGCGCGTGCATCTCTGACAGCTGGACCTGCAGGAGGCCGAGGGCACTTGCCCCCACGCTCTGTGGAGGCTATACTGGGGGTGGGGCATCTTTGTATTTGTGACTGCGCGTGCATCTCTGACAGCTGGACCTGCAGGAGGCCGAGGGCACTTGCCCGCACGCTCTGTGGAGGCTATACGGGGGGCGGGGCATCTTTGTCTTTGTGACTGCGCGTGCGTGTCTCACAGCTGGACCTGCAGGAGACCGAGGGCACTTGCCCCCACGCTCTGTGGAGGCTATACGGGTGAAGGGGATCTTTGTATTTGTGACTGCACGTGTGTCTCACAGCTGAACCTGCAAGAGGCCGAGGGCACTTGCCCCCACGCTCTGTTGAGGCTATACGGGGGGCGGGGCATCTTTGACTTTGTGACTGCACGTGCATCTCTGACAGCTGGACCTGCAAGAGGCCGAGGGCACTTGCCCCCACGCTCTGTGGAGGCTATACGGGTGAAGGGGATCTTTGTCTTTGTGACTGCACGTGCATCTCTCACAGCTGGACCTGCAGGAGGCCGAGGGCACTTGTCCCCACGCTCTGTTGAGGCTATACGGGGGGCGGGGCATCTTTGACTTTGTGACTGCACGTGCATCTCTGACAGCTGGACCTGCAAGAGGCCGAGGGCACTTGCCCCCACGCTCTGTGGAGGCTATACGGGTGAAGGGGATCTTTGTCTTTGTGACTGCACGTGCATCTCTCACAGCTGGACCTGCAGGAGGCCGAGGGCACTTGTCCCCACGCTCTGTTGAGGCTATACAGGGGGCGGGGCATCTTTGTCTTTGTGACTGCACGTGCATCTCTCACAGCTGGACCTGCAGGAGGCCGAGGGCTCTTGCCCCCACGCTCTGTTGAGGCTATACGGGTGAAGTGGATCTTTGTCTTTGTGACTGCACGTGCATCTCTCACAGCTGGACCTGCAGGAGGCCGAGGGCACTTGTCCCCACGCTCTGTTGAGGCTATACAGGGGGCGGGGCATCTTTGTCTTTGTGACTGCGCGTGCATCTCTCACAGCTGGACCTGCAGGAGGCCGAGGGCTCTTGCCCCCACGCTCTGTTGAGGCTATACGGGTGAAGTGGATCTTTGTCTTTGTGACTGCACGTGCGTCTCTCACAGCTGGACCTGCAGGAGGCCGAGGGCTCTTGCCCCCACGCTCTGTTGAGGCTATACGGGTGAAGTGGATCTTTGTCTTTGTGACTGCACGTGCGTCTCTCACAGCTGGACCTGCAGGAGGCCGAGGGCACTTGTCCCCACGCTCTGTTGAGGCTATACGGGGGGCGAGGGATCTTTGTCTTTGTGACTGCACATGCGTGTCTCACAGCTGGACCTGCAAGAGGCAGAGGGCACTTGCCCCCACGCTCTGTTGAGGCTATACGGGGGGCGAGGGATCTTTGTCTTTGTGACTGCACATGCGTGTCTCACAGCTGGACCTGCAAGAGGCCGAGGGCACTTGCCCCCACGCTCTGTTGAGGCTATACGGGGGGCGAGGGATCTTTGTTTTTGTGACTGCACATGCGTGTCTCACAGCTGGACCTGCAAGAGGCCGAGGGCACTTGCCCCCACGCTCTGTTGAGGCTATACGGGGGGCGGGGCATCTTTGTCTTTGTGACTGCACATGCGTGTCTCACAGCTGGACCTGCAAGAGGCCGAGGGCACTTGCCCCCACGCTCTGTTGAGGCTATACGGGGGGCGAGGGATCTTTGTCTTTGTGACTGCACGTGTGTTTGACAGCTGGACCTGCAGGAGGCCGAGGGCTCTTGCCCCCACGCTCTGTGGAGGCTATACAGGGTTTAGGGGGATCTTTGTCTTTGTGACTGCACGTGCATCTCTCACAGCTGGACCTGCAGGAGGCCGAGGGCACTTGCCCCCACGCTCTGTGGAGGCTATACAGGGTTTAGGGGCATCTTTGTCTTTGTGACTGCACGTGCATCTCTCACAGCTGGACCTGCAGGAGGCCGAGGGCACTTGCCCCCACGCTCTGTGGAGGCTATACAGGGTTTAGGGGCATCTTTGTCTTTGTGACTGCACGTGCATCTCTCACAGCTGGACCTGCAGGAGGCCGAGGGCACTTGCCCCCACGCTGTTGAGGCTATACAGGGTTTAGGGGCATCTTTGTCTTTGTGACTGCACGTGCATCTCTCACAGCTGGACCTGCAAGAGGCCGAGGGCTCCTTCTCGCTGTCGCCGGAGTTCGCCGAGGCCACTGGCGTCGGCCTGGAGCAGCTCGCCCGCTCCTCGCCCTTCGCGTCGCTCCGCCAGATCGCCCGTCACCCCAGCCTCTCCCACCCGGTGCCCGCACGCGGACACACGCAGCTACATCCACAGTCAGACGGCTACAGTCAGACGGCTACAGTCAGACAGCTACAGTCAGACAGCTACATCCACGCGGCTACAGCCACGCGGCGACAGTCACACAGCTACATCGACGCGGCTACAGTCACACGGCGACAGTCAGACAGATACAGTCAGACAGCTACAGCCACGCGGCTATAGTCAGACAGCTACAGTCAGACAGCTACAGCCACACAACTACATCCACACAGCTACAGCCACGCGGCTACAGCCACGACCGCCGCCACTCTACGATAGCCGGCGCCAAAACAGGGCCACGTGCCCTCAAGCACGGCCTCCTGGGAGCCTCGGCTCCTGCAAAGTTATTTCACGCAAATGTTTGTTCCAGCTTCCGTCCCGGTGACGTACGGGCGCGCGTACGTCATCGGGACGGAAGCTGAAAGACAAACCGATGGACGTACGTCCAGGGGTTAGGTAACAAAAGATCGCGACCGCAATTGGCATCGCGCCTTTCGGCACGCAGGCAACGCGACGCACGGGTTGAATGGCTCGCCCCGCTGGGTCGTGTGTGTGTGTGTGGGGGGGGCCTCTCTCTTTTCACCAGAACCCGTCCGTGCCGGAGCTGTCCGGATTCAAGCCAGCGAGCGAGCCCGCCGGCGCCCGCCACCGCCAGCTGATGGAGCAGGTCGCCAGCGCGTTCTCGCGGGCCGCGTCCGACGCCAAGGAATCACGCGGCTCGGCTTCGCCGACCGACGCCGACGCCGCAGCCAGTTCGGTCGGCGATCCGCGAGGCCCGGGGCCGCGGCGGCCGCGTCACCGGGGCCAACGGGAACGCGCCGCTCCTGCCGGGCCGAAGGCCGCGGTGGAAGCGTCGCGGGAGGCCGAGGCCCGGGTTGCCGAGGGTGCCGCTGTCGGGACGGCGGGCAGCTCTGGCGACGAGACGTCGGCGAGCGAAGCCGGAGGCGCGTCGTCCGGGAGGAGAGTGGGTGGCGCTGACCGGGGGGTGTCGTGGGAGGCCCGGGGCTCGGCTGGCGGCGAGGATCGCGGCGAAGCGTTCGGCGATGTCGACCGGTTCGCCGGCGACGACGACGACGACGGCGAATACGACGGCGGTAACATCTTCGCCGACGACGATGACGACGATAACTACGATGACGATGACGATAACTACGACGACGACGGTAACGACGACGACGGTAACTACGATAACTACGACGACGCTAACGACGACGGTAACTACGACGACAGCGACGCCGACGATGACAAAAAAGGGACCGCCGCGTCGCCGTGGCCCTGCGGCGAGGGCGGTGTGGCCGGCGGTGTGGCCGGCGACGGGGACGACGCGGGCCGCGCGTGGGCCACGGCGGTGGCGCTGGCCTGGCTGGAGGGCCACTGCGCTGGCCACCTCCACGAGTGGGAGCTGGCGGCGGGCAAGGCGCAGCGCTGGCTGGAGGAGCGCCGCGGTGGTGGTGACGGCGCAGGGGTCGCGGGGGTCACGGGGGTCGCGGGGGTCACGGGGGTCACGGGGGCGGCGCTGCGGGCGTCCGCGCGCCAGCTGCTGCTCGCGCTGCGCCACTGGGACCGCAAGCTCGACTTCACGCTGCTGTGCTACAACCAGGGCAGCTCCTGAGGAGGCGCTGTCACGCAGGGGGGGTGGGGGGGGTGGGGGGGGGTGGGGGCGGCCCCCCCCACACCCCTCCCCCCAACCCACCAACCCCCCCCATCCCCCCACCCAACCAACCAACCCATCACCACCCCAACAACCCACCACCTTCCACCCCACCCACCACCACCCCACCCACCCACACCCACCCACCACCTCCCACACCCACCCACCACCTCCCACACCCACTCACCACCCCCCACACCCACCCACCACCCCCCCAAACACCCATCCACCACCCCACCAACCCCCCACCCCCACCCACCCCCCCAAACACTCACCCACCACACCCACCCACCACCCCCCACCCACCCACAACCCCCCACCCGCACCCCCACTCACCACACCCCACCCACCACCCCCCACAGCCACCCACCACCCCCCACACCCACCCCCCACACCCACCCACCACCCCCCACAGCCACGGAGAGGTGTCGCACGCGCGACGGCGCGTGGCACAGCGATGAAGATTTGGGCTATCGGATCGACTCGCGAGGTCACCCAGCCTGTCCAGGCTTGCGTCGGGAGAGAGTTCGGGGAATTGAAAAACAAATTTCCGTTGAGTCCACCTGATTTTTGTCTTCAGTTTGTCCTTTGCCTCCCCCCCCCCCCCGTACCTCCGATGATGACGATTGGCGTACGTGCGACGCAAAAGATGCTCTACGTACGCACGCACACGCACAATTCCCGTCTGCGTTCAGGTGGCGGGAATCACATTTGTTCCGAGATCCGATGGAATTATTTTGAAGCTCATTTCAGTGAGATCGCGACGTGCTTCATAGACCTCGGGATGTACCGAGACTCCGTCTGGGTGTGGGCTGTAGCAGAGGGAGCAAACCCGAACTTATGACATCCGAGATAAATGGCTTAAGTTCGGATGAATAGAGGACTTGTCGTAACCCAAAATGAGAGTGATGACATTGGGCGTTTATAAAGTTTAAGTGAAATCTTACGAACTTGATTTGAAGCTTTCGTGACTGCAGGTACTACTCTTTGGTTCTTTTGGTAAAGTCACGTTGAAAGAAAATAAATTAAATAATCGAGTACGACGTTTCGAGACAAAACACAGACACGGAGACACACAGACACACAAGCAGAGAGAGACAACACAGAGAGACACACAACATAGACACACAGACAGACAAGCAGAGACACAACACAGACAGAGAGACACACAACATAGACACACAGACAGACAAGCAGAGAGAGACACAACACAGACACAGAGAGAGACACACAACATAGACACACAGACAGACAAGCAGAGACACAACACAGATACAGAGACACACAACATAGACACACAGACAGATAAGCAGACACAACACAGAGACACAACATAGACACAGACAGACAAGCAGAGACAACACAGACACAGAGAGAGACACACAACATAGACACACAGGCCTGTGCTTGTGTCTGTCTGTGTGTCTCCGTGTCTGTGTTTTGTCTCTCTCAAATGCAGTTCTACCTGATGATGGTTGCTTGTGCTGCAATCGAAACGTCGTACTCGATTATTTAATTTATTTTCTTTCTACGTGAAATCTCACGGTCAGGTCAAGACCATTGGCAAAGTCGATTGTAACAATGTAATTGCTGAAATTAATTACGTGAATAATCATTAATCATTCAGACGCTGTCTTTCCGACAGACCTGTTCTTCACCTGAGGACGGCTGCTTGCGTTGTGGCCAAAACGTCGTGAGAATTATTTTAGTATGTTTTATTTTTTTGTATTTTATTATTTCCCTTCTACGTGACTTTACCGAAAGAACCAAGAAGATGAATCTCTGCAGTCACGAAAGCTTTAAATCGAAATTTAAATCATTAATTATTGAATGCAATCGACGTTAATCGCATAAACACACAAACCAGCTGAAGTTTCATGGAACGATGCCACGCCGCCATAGTTTGAAACGCCTCTTACAAAAAGATGCAACTTGTTTTTGTCATTTCAAACTGTGATTTATTTAACCAAAGGAAGGCTCACTGAGCTATATGGATCTTTTTTTTCAGGAACAACCTGGCCACAAACGATATCTCAACAAAGCGGGGCTTACCGCGTGCAAATTTCTCGCAGCCAAATAATTCTAAACGCGTGATGTCGATTCTAAATGTCGGAGGGAGAAATATCCACGCGCCCTCCACGGGCAGGGAGAGACACACGAAAACTCCAAATATACAACAGGCGTCGGGGTCGAGGTTTGAACCACACGACATCCTGTATACCGGGCGAGGTAGTTAACATCTCACCAGCGCAGCATCCCAGCGAGTGAGCAGTCTGATCTCACCACCACTTCTAGATTTACTTCAAATTGCGATCCGTTTAATCCGGTGGCAGAGGTCAGAGCTGAGCGGTTGTGACCTCCCCAGTCACCCGGCCACAGGACATGGGCATTTAAACCGAGTGTCGTGAATAGGTGTAATAATGCCTAACTCATCTTCTTGGTTCTTTCAGTAAAGTCACGTAGAATGGAAATAATAAAATAATAAAAATAAAACATATAATTCTCACGTTGTTTCGGCCACAACGCAAGCAGCCGTCATCAGGTGAAGAACAGGTCAGAGAACAGGTCTGTCTTCTCGACGGCTGCTTGCGTTGTGGCCGAAACGTCTTGAGAATTATTTTAGGTTTTATTTTTATTATTTTATTATTTCCATTCTACGTGACTTTACCGAAAGAACCAAGAAGATGAATCCCTGCAGTCACGAAAGCTTTAAATCGAAAAATGCCTATCTCCTCAATCCACCCCACCCCACCACCGATTCGATGAATCGGCAATCAATTCTCCTCTTGTAGTATTGTGTATGTTAGCGGTGGGCTCGCTGCACCCCCCCCCCCGCCTCCTGCGCCAGCTTCTGTGTTACGCAAAATCGCGCGCACTCAACAGCTCGTTTAAAACAAGTATAACCCGTAAAAACAAAGTTTTTCACTATAAATCCTTTATATGCGTGGCGGCTAGAGTCATCTCGTCCTCTGGCTTGAGATGGCTGCCACCTATGGGTCAGATGATTGCATTGCACCATTAAGCAATTGGTAATTAAATATAATTTTTGTCCAAAAAAGTGTAAAATTTTGGAAAAAAAATTTCACGAACATTAATTGTCACGCACAACGAGTCTGTGTGGAAAATGTCAGCTCAATTGGATCACGGGAAGTGGGTTAAAAAACGACCGAAAGATTTGCACGGTCGTAAGCAAGCAAGTGAACTTAATATAAAGGATTTAAAAATGTTAAAAACTATGTCGCCCGTCTGTCTGTTCGATTGCCAATCTGGACATTGGTTTCGGAATCTCGACATGGGGCCCTTGAAAGTATTGGCGCAATACCTTTAACGCGTTGACAAGAATCTTTCTTGAGAATGGAGAGGAATCCGATGTCCAGTAAGAAACCGTGCCTACCAGTCTCGACTGTTTGACGCGTCAAGTGTTTTGCGTTAAGGATGTCAAATGATAATTGCACAAATAATGGATCACCCGTCGTGTGTGGAATAAAAAGCAAATTAACTAATGAGAAATGTCTCTGTTATATATACTTTTAATTCAATGATTGTACAAGAGAATCGTTGCTGGCATGCTGCTTCAATCCAGAAGGCTCCGTTGGCTGACAGGACAACAATTCCACTTGGTGTTGTACCATTCACACGTTTGTGTAAATCACATTCGTCCGTTTGAATGTATTTCGTTTAATGTTTTATTACGCAGAAACTAATGCAGCATTGGCAGAGGAGGGTTTGTGGATTGCCGTGCAAATGTTGACACATTTCCTTCCCGTGGGCAAGGGAGGTGGTACAGGAACTCTACTTGTTAGGTTCGTAAGTCGATTTGTTCGTAAAACCAACTTTACTCCCCGTCGATTACAAACACGTTGCACGGCGTGTACACTAAACACGGGGAATGGCTTTAAAAGTTGTATCATCTGTGGATGTAGATGCCACTGGTTCTTGATGTTCTGCAGATGTAGATGCCACTGGTTCTTCACGTTCTGCAGATGTAGGTGCCACTGGTTCTTCACGTTCTGCAGATGTAGGTGCCACTGGTTCTTTACGTTCTGCAGATGTAGATGCCACTGGTTCTTCACGTTCTGCAGATGTAAACGCCACTGGTTCTTCAAGTTCTGCAGATGTAGATGCCACTGGTTCTTCACGTTCTGCAGATGTAGATGCCACTGGTTCTTCACGTTCTACAGATGTAGACGCCATTGGTTCTTCACGTTCTGCAGGTGTAGATGCCACTGGTTCTTCACGTTCTACAGGTGTAGATGCCACTGGTTCTTCACGTTCTGCAGATGTAGATGCCACTGGTTCTTCACGTTCTACAGGTGTAGATGCCACTGGTTCTTGATGTTCTGCAGATGTAGATGCCACTGGTTCTTCACGTTCTACAGGTGTAGATGCCACTGGTTCTTCACGTTCTGCAGATGTAGATGCCACTGGTTCTTCACGTTCTGCAGATGTAGATGCCACTGGTTCACGTTCTGCAGATGTAGATGCCACTGGTTCTTCACGTTCTGCAGATGTAGATGCCACTGGTTCACGTTCTGCAGATGTAGATGCCACTGGTTCTTCACGTTCTGCAGATGTAGATGCCACCACCGCCATCTACTGCACGGCGGTTGAATTTACGACTCTCGGTCCGAACAGGCCATGAGGACAGGTTTGTTCGTATCTCTGAAAGTTCGTAGGTTGAAGTTGAGAAGTCAGTCTACAGAAAAAAGTGGACTCCACCTGTTCCATATGCAAGGAATAGCGCGTTTCTCCCTCGCACGAGGTGGGTTTCATCCGATTTCCTCGCACACGTAAAACCACTCGTTACACATCTGACTTCACTGCAAAACGTTGAGGACCGCAGAGCTTGGGACAACAGTTGAGGCCAGATCATCACTTGGCTTCCTCTCGCGCTTCAGAGTCGTTGAGATTGCCGTCGTCATTATATTTCCACGGCACGTAACGAGTTTTTGCACACTATAGCCATGGCGTAGTCATAATTGGCAAGCAATGGAGAGGAGGGGAAGGGAGGGGGACCCCCCCTCACCCCCAAAAGCATCGCGCGCTTTAAAGGCGCGTTTCTGCGGCCGTCTGGAATGCTCTTCCTTCCGATATTAGCAACCCACAGGGCAGCTATGCCTTTAAAATCATCTCGATTGAAAACTAATTTCTTAAAAACTATGTTTTTGTATCTTCTTGGTTCTTTCTTTCTACGTGACTTTACCGAAAGAACCAAGAAGATGAATCCCTGCAGTCACGAAAGCTTTAAATCGAATTTATTTTTGTATTTAGTATGTCCCCCCCCCCCTGCGCGCACACCCCTGATTAGCGCGGTTGGCTACGAACCGGTGGTGCGAAAGTTCAAAGTTCAACATACACAAAAGACGCGGTCGTTTCACCGTCGACTTTGATGGAATTGTCCCCCCCCCCCCCACCGCTGTACCTTTCCCCGGAGGCCATCGCAAAACACCACTCGTGCCGTGCGTCCTTATTGACCGTAACGTCTTTATTATTCGGCAGGCAAACCGCTGGGCACCCCACGGGTTTGGAGGGTGAACCCCATCCACTAATACTAAACATACAAACCATGTACCAAAAAACTGAACGCAACAACTGTTCGGATTCCAATGTACAGGTTTTTTTTTTTTTCCTCCTCCTCAACGTTATCATTTTACGTCTCGCGCTATATAATTACAGGACATTGCGGATTTCTTGAATCGATTGCGAGTGGAGAGAGCCGCGGAGGGGAGAGAGAGGGGGTGGAGAGAGGACGCATTGCGTGCACAGTTCCGTACACATCTCTCAAGAGGCGCTTTAAGATCGGGAAGAAATGGGCCAGTTAAACCGCCAAAAAAAATAAACCAATACATTTTTCCAGTAAACCCAGACAGAGAAGGGTGGGCAGCAGTCAAAGGACGAGGAAGAAAGGGGGGGGGGGGGGGGGGAGAGCCCAAAAATAATAAAACAGAAAAAAAAAAATATATTCTCTTTATGAAAACTAGAAAAAAAAAGAAATGCAGCGTTGCTAAATATATTCAAGATATTTAAATTATATTAAATTAAAACTTTTCTCCCAGGGCTGGATGACTAAGTAACATACCGTGTGTGTGTGTGTTTGTGTCGATGAAGCCGCTGGGGTAAGCGATGCTAAAGATTTCATTTAGTGGAAGCGTTGCCAGACCAGAAGTCTTGCACGTCTGCAAAATCTATTTTTTTTAAAACACGAGTTTTAGTTGGACACAGGATTTCACTGACAAGCTGTTTATAGAACTACGTAGGTCGGGGGAAAGCCTCGCCGTATCTCAAAGACTCAACTTTGACGGGGGGCGCCGCTAAGAGCTGGGCAGAAGGGTGCGAGATTTGTCGTTTCAGATGATTCTACCTCTTTAGAACGGGGGGGGGGGATTTAATTCCCACCGCTCACTCAGCGGTACCAATAGATGGCTGAAGCCCCAAATGCTCTTCATATGCGCGGTGGCCAGGAGGGGTGGGGTGTGGTGGGGTCACGAAGAACGACGATTTAAGTGATCGTAACTCATAAGTGCATCACGTATTCGTTTTCAATGCTCGTTTGAGACTTAAGCGCCTGACTTTAAGCGCCTTAAGGAGGCGTTTGGGACACTTTTTCCCACCGCCGCCGCACAGACTGTGGCCAAGGAAACCGGGGTGCTTTTGTTTGTAACCACCACCACGGAGAATTTTTTTAAAAGACGCCGAAACGCCGTGGTTCAAACGTGGCGGCGGCGACGTGTCCTCTCGCCGATCTGGCAACGCTGCGACCAAGGGCAAGGTGGGTGGGTGGGTGGGTGGCGGTCATACGTGTAAAGTTTGTCGGGGTGACGCGGACAGCCGAACGACACACGCCGTGCGTACACACACACAAGCACTGCACATCACTTGCCGAAATGGTCACACGCGCAATCAAGCGTTTTAAGTCGTGCCGCTTAATACCGTGTAGAGGGGGGGGTGGGGTGATGAACAGGTTCCATAAAAAAAACAATGGGCATGAAGCGCCGCATTTTTTTTTAACTGTTAATTTCTTTTTTGGTTTGTGTTGCTCCTGTTATTATCTTTGTTTTTTCCTCCTCCTTTCCTGCGTTCCTCCCAAACTCCCCGTCGAAAGCGCCGACGCTTCCGACGGAATGAATTTTACACGGCGGGTAGCGCGGCGCGGCGGCGGTCAAAACGGGGCGCTTGGCAATGGCGTGCGTGACACAACGCGCGCGTACGATAAGAGCCGCCCCTTCCCCTGTCCCGCCTGGCTCACACGGAGGGGGGGGGAGCGGGGTTACAACTTCCCCAGACGAGACGAAATGAGCGAGACGCCGCAAAATGAGAAAACGACAACAAAATGAAAATCAGACCGAAGGGCAAAAACAAACCGAAAAACAGACGTTAGCGTTTCAGCTCAGCTTGATGGGGCGGGGGGGGGAGGGGCCCCGAGATTCTGATAGGCCAACTTCCGCCAAGTTTTTTTTTTTAATACTCAACAGCGTAAAATACAGCCTTAAAATGCGGATCGCAGGGTCAGGGGGCTGAGTAGTTGAGGGGGTGGGTGGGGTTGCGATGAGAAAAGGTGACCTTGACCTTCGCGACAAGATCCTCAACCCTTCGGACAGACGGGCTTCACAAAAGCCCGGGCGAGCAAAAGAAAAAAACGTGAAAAGCGTTTGAACGCGTGTATTTTATTATTACCATCCTTTTTTTTTATACATATATAATCTTCGTCTTTCAATTACACCACTTATTTAACGGTTGTTTTTTTGTTTCTCCTCCTCACCCCTTCTCGTGTTAAGTTATCCGAGGGGTTTTTTTTTCTCTTTTCCTTTCTTTTCTTTTTTCCCCCCAAGTAACGGGAGCGCACGCAGTCCGGGACGCACGCCACACCGCGAACATGACCGGGCCGAGCGTAATGTGTGCGTGGCGCGCGTGCGCGTGCATGCACTTATACAATTAGTGTAAGATGGGTGAGGCGGGTAGGTGCGCGTGTCCGTGTGTGTGTGCGTGTGTGTCCCCGGCCCCCCCCCACCGCCCAACGCCCATCGCCCCCCCCCCCCCCCCACAGCAGCGTGAGTGACGGTGCGACGGCCTTAACGGGCGCTCGCTAACGGCGCTCCGACCCCACGCGTTTAGTCCGGCTGTTGGCGCGCGTGGGGGCGTGCGGCGGTCGGGGGTGGGCGAGTGAGCGGGCGAGCGAGCGAGCGAGCGATTCAAAGTGTGGCTGCCCCCCTCCTCCTGTTCCGCCACCACCACCACCACCACCACCTCCTCCTCCTCATGCCACGTAGGTGTACACCTTGCGGTCCTCCGGTGTCCGCGCCAGGTACTCGCGCTCGATCAGACCCTCGATGCGTTTCTTGATGACGATGGGACTCGGCAGGAAGCGAGCCTTGAGCTGCTGCGTGACCTGCCGGGGTCGGAGGAAGAAGGGGGGAGGGGGGGTAGTGAGCGAGGTGCACGGGAGAGGAAGGCGTGCAGAGAAAAGTAGAAATTCTAAAACTAAACTAGAAGCTCCGTTGGAACCTCATTTGCCAGTAAAAATATGATAATTGGTTTTTTACCCTTCTATCTGGCAACAAAACTGACACCTTTTTTACAAGGAGTCATTTTACATAGACCACAATACCTGCAGTCATAATGCAAACAAAAAACATAACTCTGATAATGTGCGCCTTTTGGCGTCATCTGGTCCAACCCATGTGAGACTAGGCTCTAAGGAAAGCTGTCTCGGGTGTGGACCAATCAACTTCAAGGACAGTGCACATTATCAGAGTTATGTATTTTGTTTGCATTATGACTGCAGCTATTGTAGGTCTATGTAAACATGACTCCTTGTAAAAAAGGTGTCAGTTTTGTTGCCAGAGAGAAGGGTAAAAAAACAATTATCATAAACTAGAAGCTATTTTTATGTGAGCAGGGAAGGTCCACTGAGCTGCACGGATTTTTTTCGGAAGCGACCTGGTCACAAAAGATAGAGCTCACCCAAGTGCCTCATCACATGGAAATTTACAGCAGTATCCAAATATTGATTGTCAATGAGGGGAAAACCGCAGGACCCGGAGAATAAAACAATAACACGACCCCGGGGACAACATGCACAGTCCACATATACAGCAGGCGTCAGGGTCGGGATCGAACCCACGACCGTCCTGTATACCAGGCGAGGTCGGTAAAATCTCGAGTGATGGCAAGAATTAGGCAGGAGGGATTCGGAGTAAGAAAGCGGCACGGATGGATGGAGAGGAGACAGTTTAGAATGAACGAGCGGGCGAAATAGCAAGCGGGTGAGAGTGGACGGGGGGCGTGGAGTTAAGAAAGATGGCAATGGCAGCAAATGTGGCGATGCGAATCTCCAAGCGCTCTAACACAAGAGCGTCAGCGGTGGCCGATGCCGTGGTGGCCGATGCAACCTGCGAAAGGGAGGAGCACTCCCCACTAAAGGACCACCACCGCTGTTCACTTCGCGCGAAAGTGGAAGCACGCCACTCGTAAACTCACGCGTTTACACGAACGACGGCAACGACGGGCCTTACCTGGTAAAATAAAAAGTTTAATCTTCTTGGTTCTTTCGGTAAAGTCACGTAGAAGGGAAATAATACAAATAATAAAAATAAAACATAATAAAATAATTCTCACGACGTTTCGGCCACAACGCAAGCAGCCGTCCTCAGGTGAAGAACAGGTCTGTCGGGGAGACAGCGTCTGAAGGACGGCTGCTTGCGTTGTGGCCGAAACGTCGTGAGAATTATTTTATGTTATATTATTTTTATTATTTTATTATTTCCCTTCTACGTGACTTTACCGAAAGAACCAAGAAGATGAATCCCTGCAGTCACGAAAGCTTTAAATCGAAATAAAAAGTTTCTTAGTTTTAGTTTAGGGTGCTTGGATAACGGGAAGGGGAGGGGCGGCAGTTCAACTCGCGACTATCCAATCACGAGCCAGACGCTCCCACATGGCATCCGCCCGGCACCGTCGAGTAGCCTCAGACACCTCAGAGAGCCCCCCCCAACACCGCCCCCACCACCGCCCGGCGCCTGTCCCCCAGGGGACATGGGATTAGCGCGGCACGGGAAGGGCTCCCCACCCACCTCTGCCACGAGGACATTGTGCTGCATCTTCTTGCGTGACTTCATGATGCGCACGATGGCCGCCTCGATCTCGTGTTTGCGATCGTCGTCCACCTTCTGCCGCGTCTCCTTGCGCTCGGGATCCGTCTCGCCCTGCTTGGCTGCCACTGCCAAAGAAATAAAGATGCCCCGCCGCCACCCACCGCCACGTATAACTTTTAACACACTGATAATTATATTCTTCGTTTTTTTCGGTAAAGTCACGTAGGAAAAAAAATGTAAATTGATAAAACTAAAATAAAAATAAAATAAAATAAAAATCACGACGTTTCGGAGGCAACACAAGCTTCCGTCTTCAGGTGGAACCGTCACAGCACGATAGCTGTATCAAGTGAGAGAAATTCCAAGAAACAGTCTTTGTATATATACTGGTTGAGGGTGGGAGGAGCCAAGGTAGGCCCTGAATATTATTTTTGTGAGGTTCGGTGCGGCTGAAGCACGCTGTTAGGAATGAGCCTTTGTTGTGTAAACTAGGTGCGGCTGATGTAACGGGGCGTGTAAAAGGGACTGAGCCTTTTTGTTATGTAGAGATGATGCGGCTGAAATCGCATCATCTTTACTGATAATTGGTTTTTTACCCTTTTATCTGACAACAGAACTGACACCTTTTTTACAAGGAGTCATGTTTGCATAGACCACAATACCTGCAGTCATAATGCAAACAAAAAACACAACTCTGATAATGTATGCATTGTCCTTGAAGTTGACTGGTCCACACCCGAGACAGCTTTCCTTAGAGCCTAGTCTCACATGGTGTTGGACCAGATGACGCCAAAAGGCGCACAACTCAAAGACAATGCACCATCAGCGTATGAGAGCTCAGGGTAAGCATTTACACCATTGGTACCTCATTTGCCAGCAAAACATATGATAATTAGTTAAACCAATTATGATAATTGGTTACACCAATCATCATATTTTTTTATGGTTTAACCAATTATGATAATTGGTTAAACAAATTATGATAATTGGTTAAACCAAATATAATATTTTTACTGGCAAATGAGGTACCAATGGTGTAAATGCTTACCCCTTTCAACACACTGTTGGGGCGAGTCCTGTTAGCGAAGGCTGGATGGCGCACGAGAGGGGTGGGTGGCCAGCACCACGCACCTTGATCCACCTCAACCCATCGCCCGACTTGCTCACTCGTCAAAATCACCCTCTCATCCATCCACTCACTCGACCCACCTACTCACCCATCCACACCACTCACCACCCATCCGACCAATGACCCAATAACCCCATCCAATCCTCTCGCCCATCCGGTAACCCACCACCCGCCAGCTCACTCAACCATCCACCCACACACACACATCCTATGGATTATACAGCCACCCACATACTGACTCAGTAATTAGCATGGTTGGCTACGTACGGTAACGAAAAAAGTTCAACAAACATACACTAACCAGATCCACCCTCTCACCCACCCACCTACCCAGCGCTTTCCACCCCCTCCCACCCCGACCCAGCGTACCCCCTCACACACCGTGCCTTTCTACTCACTCACATTTCCACCCACCCTTCAAAATCACTCACTCACCCAACTACCCACCCACAACTCACGCATCCTCTCATTTACACGGCCACCCACATACTCACTCCGCAACTAACCAACATCCGTCCTACCCACTCAACTCACCCACCCACCCGGCCTTCTACCCACCCAGCATTCCCCTCACTCGCCGTGTCCTTTCCGCCCACCCTTCAAAATCACTCGCTCGCTCACCCGCCCACCCACCCAAACCCAACCACCACCAACCACCTACCCCACCGAGCCCAACGCGCACACCGCCTTGTGCCGGGCACCTGTCTGTATCTTGACGCGGTGCAGCTTGGAGGTGAACTGGTCATTGACGGTGAAAATGTGGCTGGGCTCCATCTCCTTAGTCTTGGGCTCCTTGGTGAGGACGCGCTGCGTGGGCTTCCCGCACGCCAGCGACTGCAACGCTCGCACCAGCTCCTTCTCGGGGATGTCCGTCTCCTGCTGGATCTCCTGCAGAGGGGGGTGAGGGGGTGGGAAGGGCAGCAGCATTGGGTCAGACAACCCACGAGTCTGCAATACCCCTTTTTCCATTGGCACATGCGAGCCGAGCCAGCGCTAGTCGCTCACGGTACGAGTGTTGGTTTTCCACTGGCACATCCAAAGCCAAGCCATGCCAGCCACTCACAGTTCGAGTGTTGGTTTTCCACTGGCACATCCAAAGCCATGCTAGCGCTAGACACTCACGGTACGGGTGTTGGTTTTCCACTGGCACATCCAAAACCACGCCAGTGCTAGTCGCTCACGGTACGAGTGTTGGTTTTCCACTGGCACATCCAAAACCACGCCAGTGCTAGTCGCTCACGGTACGAGTGTTGGTTTTCCACTGGCGCATCTGGAACCACGCCAGCGCTAGACGCTCACGGTACGAGTGTTGGTTTTCCACTGGAGCTACGCCGAGCCGGAAACGGAACTGCGATACGCTTGGCCTCACGCGGCGTCCCGATGCTCGCTCGTTATCGGTGCTCGGAGCGCTTGACGGCGCCAGTCCTGACGCAATCCACCTACCCCCCCCACCTGGCAACCGTCAGAGGAGGATGTCGCTTCGCCCCAGTCGCCGCCGCCACCGCTCACCTCAAAGGTGTAGCTGTCCCTGTTGTTGAAGAGGATGAGGATGGTCATCTGAAACGTGGAGACCTGCAGGATGTGCTTGCGCGTGTTGCTCCCCGTGAGTTGCGCACCACCCATGCTCGAGTCCCCTTCCTCCTGCCCACAAACGTAGGGGACACCGCGGACACAGCAACGTTGGCAACTTAGCGTTGGTGGCTGCATTGGTTGGGAGGGGGGGGGGGGAGCGCTTTCTGCCACTGCCATTTGTGGGCAATCGCTCGCTCGCAACGCACTCATCCGTTTATTGTCCCTCCGCGATGCTGGCGAAGGGGAAAAAATGATGATTAAGTGGACACAGGTGTCGGTGGACGGTGTGTGTGTGTGTGAGATTGACTAGGTGATGGCGTGAGACTGGAGATGGGGGGGGGGCGGGCGAGGTGTGATAACGCCCTAGGGACTGCAAGACTCTAAAATACAAAAAAAAATTTTTACCAGGTAAGGTCCACTAAGCTATTTAAGATAGCTCTTTCTCAGAAGCGATCTGGCCACAAATGATAGCGTAACGGAAGTGGATTAATCATGTGGAAATTTATAGCTGCATTCAAATACTCTAAACGCGTGATGTTGATTCTAAATTGAGGTAAAAAAATGGGAGGACCTGGAGAAAACTTCACGGGGAGAGAGAAATGCAAACTCCAAATATACAACAGCGTCGGAGTTGAGCATTTAATCTCCCCGGCTATTGCCAAGCGTTACTGCGGGCATCTTCAGAAGTTTAGGAAGCAAAGGAAAACCTGCGTGCCAGACATGCGAGAAGTCTTGCCCGTTAACGGACGAGTCAGCAGAACTAAAGTCTGCGAGTGAATAGTTTAAAGTCTCTTATCACTGGCAATAAGATCAATGCGAGTCCAAGCGTGGTCTTGACCGTGGTCAAAGCCGGAGGGGGAAGAAATGTTTTAGCAATGCAGCCAAACCCGATAGACCACAATTGGACCACGGAATAGCCGTCAACACCTCTACCGTGCCAAAAGGAAAAAAAACCACGAGAGAAGTCGCACCCGTGGACAGAATGACTCTAGAATGGTATTTGCCGAGTAGGAGTAACGAGAGGAGCCCGTAGAAGTATCAATTCAGATTGTTCTTCTTGGTTCTTTCGGTAAAGTCGCGTAGAAGGGAAGTAATAAAATAATAAAAATAAAACATAATAAAATAATTCTCACGACGTTTCGGCCACAACGCAAGCAGCCGTCCCCTCAGGTGAAGACCAGGTCTGTCCTGCATACCAGGCGAGGGAGTTAACGTGTCATAGCCACTGAGAGAATTGACACTTGCGTCCGCGCAAATTCGGCCCCTCTTAAGACTTTATGACCAGAACACTGCCCCTGTCTGAATTCACAGGCTTACGTTGGTCTGGTGCTGGGGTCGGCAACCAAAATCCCTCAATATTATTCAAGAGACAGCGTCTGAATCAATTCAGATTGTCTGGAGATAAACCAACTCATCGGACCAGGGGTCGGCAAACCTGCAGGCTCTGGAGCTGCAACGTGGCTCTTGAAGGAGTGCAGTGAGACTCTTGAATAATATTGAGGGATTTTGGTTGCCGACCCCAGCACCAGACCAATGTAAGCCTGTGAATTCAGACAGGGGCAGTGTTCTGGTCATAAAGTCTTAAGAGGGGCCGAATTTGCGCGGACGCAAGTGTCAATTCTCTCAGTGGCTATGACACGTTAACTCCCTCGCCTGGTATGCAGGAGGTCGTGGGGTCGATCGCGACTCTGATGCCGGCTATATATTTGGAGTTGGCATGTTCTTCTCCCCGTGGTCGCACAAATTTTTCGTGTCCCCCAGTTTTTTACACGCTTTTTATTAACTCTGTTGTTGTTGTTGTATCCTCAAATCTTGTAACTCAATTTTAACCCACTTCCCAATGTGGTATCGACTGCAAACTTGGTATACTTATGTCATACTGATGACAATACCATATTCTATCATAAAAATTTAAATTATAGGTTATGTTTCGGCTTGGGTCTAATTGTCCACGCTCAACTGACGTTGGCTGTAAATCACCACGGTCCCCAACGTTGTGGCAAGCTTCAGGGCCACTTCCTGGAGTCGTGGAGTTCTGCCATTACGAGTTACGGTACATTTCATGAAAGCGTGTTTTTAAAAAAGTTTTTTTTTAAATATTACTCATTCCCTCCACATTTAGAATCAACGTCACGCGTTGAGAATATTTGGCTACTGCTATAAATTTGAACGTGAACATCCGCTTTGTTGAGCTATCATTTGTGGCCAGGTGACTTCTGCATGAACGCTAAACAGCACATTGGGCCTTACCCTGAGAAAATCTAAATAGTTTAGTTTAGGGAGCTCGCCCGTGCGTGTGCTCACGGGTAATTCCGCGCGTTGTTCGGCACGGCGTCCGACGTTTCGCCCCCAGCCCTGCTGTGGAGGCGTTTCGGCGCGGCGCGACTCAAAGACGACGCTGCACGAGGCACGACCGCCAAAAAACCTACGCGGGCGGATTCCTTCGCTTGGCGGAGAAACGCAATACCCGACGTTGCTTTACTTTAATCGTCTCGGCAAAAACATTGATCCACTGCAGCACTGCGGCAGTTGACATTACGCTAGCGTAAATAAAATAAAATAAATGCGCGCTCACGCCCTCCCCTCATCCCGTGCCGTCATCCTATCTGTGGACGGGCACAAATAGACCATCACACAGCGGTGCACTAATCGGCTGCTCGTGACACGGTTGTCTGGCTCGACCGCCCGAATGTGAATTTGTCGTCGCTGCTCCTGCATCTACATCAGCAGCCATAGGAAAGATTGTGGGTGTTCACATTCCCGTCTAAGTAAGGGTGGCGGGGGAGGGGAGGGGGTATGCAGGAGGTTGTGGGTTCGATGCCGACCGTCGTGACGCCTGTATAGGTAGTCCCTGACTTACGATGGAGATGCGTTACGACGACCCCATCATCGCAAGTCGAAAATATCGTAAGTCGAAGATGGCCTAGCCTACCCAGGAGTCTTAAAGAATGGTGATAATTTAGCAAAACAGAGCAATTTACAGTACCGTACTATATAAACTATATACTGTATGTATTTATTAATTACAATACTGTATTGCACAGTGAAATTTAAAGTCAAAATCAAGGTAAATTCTTAGCCTACCTATATGAAATGCAATTTCATAGAAATTTTTTTCAGGAAACATTCCTATCTGCTATAAAAACTTTTAACATGCATTGAACACCGAGATAACTTAACTCTGTCAACCGCTGGTGAGAGTGAGAGGCATCACCACACAAGGCGGGAGATGCGTACAGTACATCCCGGCAGCGTCCCAACGTACAGTACGCTGCTGCGTTGGCCTGCCGCGCGAAATGTAAAATATTTAACAATTTTGTCGTATCGCTATCGCCATCGTAAGATCGAAATATCGTAAGTTGGACCACCGTAAGTCGGGGACGACCTGTATACGTGGCGTTTGCATGTTGCTATCCTCCGTGGTCAAGTGTATTTGTCTCCGGGTCTTCCGGTTTAGTAAAGGGGAGTAAGGGGGAGGGGGGGAAGCAGAGGGGGGGGTGGTGGTCTCCCGCAAGGAGCAACACGTGGAGCGGATTCCAACAATCGGATTCCAATAATCTCAGGCGTCATTCAATTCCTTTGGCTACCATTCCATTGCTCGTCTTACACATTGGCGATCATCCACGCTGCCCGCGACCTGCCCCTGCCCAAACGCAATTCTTCTTATCAACCATCAGTGTGACGTCTCACTTATTCGGGAGCGTTTGTGTGCCGCTGCTCACCGTCCTTAAACTAAGCACTCCATCCAGCTGTTGCTTGTCTCTGCATGTCATCATTTTAAAACCAATCTGCCTCCAATAATTGCCCTTCTGCAACGCTGTCCGTCGATCACTTGATTTCTCTCAAGAGCCCCTTGTCGCGCGAGGCTTTTGTTCATCGAGTACATTTTGGTAACCGCAAAGTAATTTCTCAGTATCCACGCAAATATTTAAAGTTGTTTTTTTTTTTCCCCACAATCAAATCTCGTGCCAAATAGTCGCCGCCACGTCCCAAGATGCGTATTCCGCGCGCAAGGGCGGGAACCACTGATGAAAGGGGGGAGGGGGCCAGTGAATGATTCCATGGTGGCGAGGAGATGTTAGCTCCCTCGCCTGGTATGCAGGGGGTCAGAGGGATCGATCCCAGCCCTGACACCTGCTGTATATTTGGAGTTTGCATGTTCTCTGAGTGAATGATTCCATGGTGGCTAGGAGATGTTAACTCCCTCGCCTGGTATGCAGGGGGTCAGAGGGTTCGATCCCGGCCCTGACACCTGCTGTATATTTGGAGTTTGCATGTTTTCCCCGTGGCCGGAGGAATATTTTTTCTCCGGTTCCTCCGGCTTGTTTCCCTCCTCCACATTTAGAAACGTACGTTTAGGTTATTTAGATGATTTGGCTGCTATGAATTTCCTCATGATAACCCGCTTCGTTGAGCTATCATTTGTGGCCAGGTTGCTTCTGGAAAAGAAGCTAATAGCTCAGTGGGCTTTTCTGGGTAAAATAAAATTGTTTAGATGTATTAATCTTGCTAGCGATTTGCTTACCGTTCCCATACTTTGCACTCCTATCGTGTTTTTATATTGTTTCTTTGCTGTAACATTCTGACCCCGTGCCCCAACTGGACATCTGTGAGAGACAAAAAATAGCTTGATAGCGCATCGGATTCCTCCAGCAATAAACGAATATTCCGATTCCACCGTACCCGTCTGATGGGACCGTAGAAGGTGGCGTTGAGGTCGGCTGAGCCCATGTGGTGTTGAAGCGTGAGCTGGCGCCCACTGTGCTTGGCAAGGTAAAACCTACAAGGCACAACAAATAACACGCGCACGCACGCACAACGCAAGATAAGACAAAGACGCTCCCAATCAAGCCTTAGCCTTTGAGACTGTTAAGGCAAGTGCTGTTAGCGAGCACCTATGAAGGCCGGCAAGGCGCATGACGGGGTGGTGTGGCCAGCACCACGCCCGGCCGCCTTTGTGTTCCCAGAGTGCTGATGTTTACACACCGCGCCAGGGCACTCATTTGAGGCCGGGCTGACCTAGGGGAGGAACAGGACAGGTTAGCATCCAATGTGCCACCGATCTGCAGCGTGGCCGGGGAATTGAACCAAGGTGTGGATGGGGTAGCAGCGCAGTGGCATGAATCACAGAGTCACTGCAACCGATAGAAGAGACAGGCCCACGTACACGCAGTGACACACGTACACAGAGTGACACACACACAGGGTAATATTCGCGCACGCACATATACACACATATACCAAGCAGACAATGTCTACTTGTAGCTCATGAAAAATGTAAGCGCTGACGCCAATAATTTTTGAGATCGACACCTAACAATTTATCGAACCCATCCTCAATTTTCTTGCTTCTTTCGGTAAAGTCACGTAGAATGGAAATAATAAAATAAAATAATTTCTTTTTGTATGTTTTATTATTATTTTATTATTTCCATTCTACGTGACTTTACCGAAAGAACCAAGAAGATGAATCCCTGCAGTCACGAAAGCATTAAATCGAGAAAAAATCCATCCTCAATTCACTAATCTGTGCCTTCTCTGTACCATCCCGCACTGCCTCATTTTGCACCGTCTCATTTTTACCAAACTCATTCGTTCCAGGACGATTGGGCAAAGTACAAATTGTGGTAAAACTGCCATGAATCGACAAAAATCGACCCTCACACACGCGCAGATCCCACGGCACGCACGACCACGGGTACGATTTAAGCGATGCGATCGTCACACGCCAACTTTTAAAAGTCAAGCCAAAGCCGTGCCCTTACTAAAACGAGCGCGCGCCGCTCACCCCCCTTTTGACGGCTTTCGGCCAATGGAAGAAAAACTCCACGTTCCTATGCCGAAGACCAGCGACATCCACCGTCGGGATTCCTGGGGAACTGGGACTGCTGGGGTGGGCGGGCGGGGAGCGGAGCAATACCTGCGGAAGACTTCGAAGGCGTGGCGCGGCGCGGGGGGGATGTTGCACTTTGGCGTGGCCGCCTGCGTGGGCCAGTAACCCGTGGTGAGCACGCGCACCGTCAAGTCCACGCCGTGCAGCGACGTCTGAGGATGGTGGGTGGTGGGGTGGGGGGGGGTGGCGGCGACATGCGTGTGCGAGGTGAGCGTCGGCGGGCACGAGTGCGTGCGTGCGTAACGGTTAGCGCGTTGAGCTACGAACCTGATGACCCTAATTCGACTTACGCTCGCGGTCAATTGTCTGAACCGGTTCTGGGCCTCCTCTAGGTCGACTCAGCCTCAAATGAGTACCTGGTGCGGTGTGTAAACATCGTCACTCGGGAGACAAAGACGGCCCGGCGTGGTGTTGGCTACGCACCCCCTCGTGTGCCGTGCCGGCATTCATTGATGCTCGTTAAAAGCACTTGCCCAAACAGTCTATTAACACTATATGGGGTTTCTTTGACTTTCTATTGGCATGGAGACATATTTTAGCACGGGTAAACGTGTGTTTGTTTCATCGGCATGGGTACACTGAATGTCGAAACTGGCGCAGAGTTCGCTTGTCGCGAATATCAATGCCGTTAAAATTACTCACTCCCAGAAGGCAGTGAGGCCTGTAGGTTGTGGAGGAAACGGTACGTTGTTTTTAAGTGGAGAGAAGAAAAGGAGACTTAAGTTGTCTGCTTACCTATGTTATAATTTAACGTGCTCATCAGATGAGTCCGCTAGTCTATTGTAAAAAAAAAACATCAGTGATCGCTCTCAGTCTCGTGAAAACAAAACTATAAAACTAAACTAGTTTTATGTTACCAGGTAAGGCCCACTTCAGCTATAAAACGCTTTTTCAGGCGTGACCTGGCCACAAATGATACCTCAACGAAGTGGCTTATCACGTGGAAATGTATAGCAGCCAAATACTCTAAATGCATGTTAATTATAAATGTGGAGTGGAAAACCGGAGGACCTGGAGAAAAATCCAAGCAACCACAGAGAGGGAGACATGAAAACTCCAAATATACAGCAGCAGGCGCCAGGGTCGGGATCGAACCCACGACCTCCTGTACACCAGGCGAGGTAGTTAACATCTCCTTGCCACCGTAATGATGATGAGAGAGAGAGATATGCAAACTCCAAATATACAGCAGGCATCAGGGTCAGGATCGAACCCACGACCTCCTGTATACCAGGCGAGGTAGTTAACATCTCCTCACCACCGTGATGATGATGAGAGAGACACGCAAACTCCAAATATACAGCAGGCATCAGGGTCAGGATCGAACCCACAACCTCCTGTATACTAGGCGAGGTAGTTAACATCTCGCCGCCGCGAGATTAAACGTTCGATCCCATTGTCAAAAGACAACGGAGGGAGGGAAGCTCTCACTGGCCGTGCATTTCTACCCAGAGGCCGTTTCTACCCAACAGTTGTCACCGAATGTCGTCTACGTCACCGACGAGCGTGGAGGAGTCACGGGCTCCTGCTCCCGCGCTGCATGCCGTACCCCCGTGGTGTGCAAGTGAGTCCGGAATTCCTCCATGGTGGTGTTGGAGATGCTCATGTCCTTGAACATGCCCTCCAGCTTGGACGTGAACTGGCAGCCGCATTCCGTCTGCGAAAATGACGTGGGGGGGCGGGGGGGGGGTTGGTTGGAGCGACAGGGCGAGGGGAAGAAGAGTCAGAATATTTATTACTGGACGAATCCGATGAGTTGTAAAGCTTTTTTTTTCCCACAGATGTCCAGTAGGAAGGCACCGTCGCCAATCCCATTTCAAAACTAGCCTAGAGCCCAGAGAACCTCATCCCGAGTTGTTTAGCGTGCTACAACAGAGTAACACGTAATGCCACAGAGCAAAGTTTGTCGCACGGCATCCAAACAGGCACTGAATTGTCAGAGCCAGAGCGCGTTCACCAAGTGAATTGAAATTCATTTTTTTTTGTGCAGTCATCGGCGACAGTGCCGAGACCATCAACTCACTACACTTGAGAACCCGGTTAATTACACAGATGGGATGTCTGGATTCAAATCCCAGGATCGTAGCAGTGCCAAGCTCAGCGCCCGTGGCATCTGGTCAATCCAAGAGCTGGCTCAAAGAAATATTTTAAGATACTTTTTTAAAAATACGCTTTAATGAAATGTACTGCCCGAGCTGCCCCTGCCCCCTTCCCCTATCGCCCCATAGCCCCTCCCTCCACATCCCCCGCCCCTGGGCTTAGCTCCCCGAGGCTTGCCGTGACGTAAGGGACCGTGGTGATCTACAGCCAACGTGAGTTGAGCGTGGATAATTAAGCCGTTAAAAAGATTGTTTAAAAATATTTATTTTTAATTTCCAATGATAGAATATATTATTGTCATCAGTATGACACACCTATACCAAGTTTGCAGTCGATACGACATTGGGAATACGGTTGAAATTCAGTTACAAGATTTTTGGATACGACAACACATACAGTAAGTTAAATAAAAGCGTGTAAAATGTTTAAAAAATATATGTTTTGGATTTTTTTATGATAGAATATAGTATTGTCATCAGTATGACATAGCTACACGAAGTTTGCAGTCGATAGCACATTGGGAAGTGTGTAAAAATTGAGTTACAAGATTTATTTTTTGAGGATACAACAGATGAAGCGAGTTAAATAAAAAGCGTGTAAAAATGTCTTTTGTCGGGACTCCGTCTTCTTCATTTGTACGGCTGATGTAGATGCAGAGCAGCAACTAAAATTTCCCACCCAGTGGTCAAGCCTGACAATCGTCGTACGATGTCTCCTTCCTATTGTGGACTCGCTCCACCCTGGCTAGCCATCGAACAAAGACGGTCACCGCTTCGGGCTCTTTCAGACGTACTTCTGTGGCCGTCTAGAGCGCTCGTCATTCGGGTATTAGGAAGCGACTGGGAGCTACGCGCTTTTCAATCGAAAACGTCTTGAAAATTGCTTGCTGTGTTTAGTTTGTCGTCCTTCCCCCGCACCTCCGATTGGCACAGCTGCCTATGTACGGTGTGAAAAAAGTTCAACATACACACATACAGCACAGGGTGGTGGTTTGCCTTTCTAATTCATGTTTAGGATTTTGATAAAGAGTTTTTTTTTAGTCTATCATTTATGTATTATCCCTTGTGTGTGGATTTTCACGGGATACTTTATCTATGCTGAACGTCTTTCGCGCCGTACGGAGCCAACCCTGCCGATCTGTCGGCGTACAAAACTCTCGCAAACTTGGACTAGGACAAACGCCCAATGCGTTTGTCCTCCCCCCACACCTCCCATTAACACGGCTGGCTACGTACGGCGCCAAAGAAGTTCAACATACACGCACACATACATAGAGAGGCCTGCAAGGGGTGCGCGGGGGAGACGTGGCCACGGGGATCGGAAGGTCGCGTTCACCTTGAGCTTGGAGATCATGTTTTTCTCCGAGTCGTCCGACACGCTCTTGTTGGTGAGCAGTCGGCGTGCAAGGTGCTGCTTGTAGTAGCGCTCAAACACGTCCTTCTCTTGCAGGAAGCGGAAGAGGATCATCGCCTTGTCCAGAATCGCCTCCACCTCCTGCTCTGACAGCTGTGAACGCGAGCACACACACGCAAACACACACAAGACAAAGATCCCCCTCCCCCCGCCTATTAACTAAACTAAAAACAAAACTGCTTAGGACCGTGCAAATCTTTCGGTCGTTTTTTAACCCACTTCCCGTGATCCAATCGAGCTGACATTTTGCACACAGACTCGTTATGCGAGACAATTAATGTTCGTGAAAATTTTTTTCCAAAATTTTACACTTTTTAGGACAAAAATATTATATTTAATTACCAATTGCTTAATGCTGCCATGCAATCATCTGACCCATATGTGGCAGCCATCTCAAGCCAGAGGACGAGAGGACTCTAGCCGCCACGCATATAAAGGATTTATAGTGAAAAACTTTGTTTTTACGGGTTATACTTATTATTCTACTAGGTAAGGCCCACTGAGCTATGCCACTCCAATGCCATCTGCCTCTGCAACCGCAACCTGCCCTCAACAATCTCGCACACGTGTCCCACCCATCACAAAACCTCCTCTCTTCCTGGGTAACACACATTACATTATATATTGGTTTTTAATAGAGTTTGCATTATCTCTGTTTCAAAGAACCAAAAACTATTTATATTTTACCAGTTAAGGACCACTGAGCGACCTGGCTCAACGAAGCGGCTTATCACGTGGAAATATATAGCAGCCAAACACTCTAAAACGCACGTCGATTCTAAATGTGCAGGGAAAAACCGAAAGAAAAGGGAAAAAAATCGACGGGACCACGGGGAGATCATGCAAACTCCAAATATACAGGCGTCAGGGTCGGGACCGAACCCACGACCTCTTGTATACAGGGTGAGATAGCTAACATCTCGCCACCGTGGCAAAGCGAACGAGGGGGGTGATTGCAGCCAGTACCCAATGCTGATGGTGTGCACACCGCATCAGGTGCTCATTTAAGACTGAGGGGAGGGCCCGGGACGGGTTCTGATACCAAGTCACCGATGTAAGCGGTGGCTAGGAGCGCGGGTACCACTGTGTCACTGCTACCTATCACACATCATATCAGAGCGCGAATACGTGAATGCCCGTCTGTGTTTCCGTGCATGAATCACTGTACGTGCGATTAAGTGTATAACACAGGGTGCTACAAAAAATGTTAGCACTTATTTGATCATTTTTAATGGAAAAAGAATGGATAATACTCCGTAACATGATAACAAATGTATGTTAATAGCTTCAAAAAGTCGGTGTCTCCTCCACTCGTTCGCCATTATTGTCAACACGTGTCTGGTGGTCTCCAGAGCCCGGAGGCACATTTATCGTGGTATTGTTGCAAATTCTTAGAAGTGTTAACATATTTTTGAAGAGCCCTGTAGTGTGTGTGTATGTACACGTGAGAATGTGTACGATTATGTGGTAGCGTGCGAATGCGTGTGTGTTTGCGAGCGTTGATGTCTGTACGAGAGCCTGTGCATTTGTGTACACCACATTGCGTGCGCGTTAAGTTTGCACAGCAGGTAGCACAGGTGGTGTTACCCGACAGTAATCTCAACCCATAATACCTGGCTCTGTTCCGTGACATCCTGTCAGCGAGCATTCCAACGCTTCACTTGACCTCAAAGCAGAGTTCGCAACCGGGTACCCGATACCCGTACCCTACCCGATACCCGGCTACCCGTACCCGGCCGGGTACGGGTACGAGTACCCGTTTGCGACCCTGGTGCGGTCAGGTACGGGTAGGCCGTGAGTCACTGGTGAGTCACCGTTTGTCACTCATTTCCCAACGTCTTGTCTCTTCTCACAATTCAAGTTCCTAGAATCAACCCACCCGCGCCTGCAACATTGCTTCATCCCAGAGGTCGCAATCGGGTACCCATACCCGAACCCTACCCGATACCCGGCCGGGTACCGAGTAGGGTACGGGTACCCGTTTTCGACCCTGGTGCGGCCGGGTACGGGTACGGGTAAGGAATCAAAACCCGTTTGCGACCTCTGCCTCAAAGTGCACCTAGCTTGGCACAAGCGCTGTGGTGATGTCACCACCAGCAGTGAATGGCGGCCGTTGTTGGCAAGTGAGCGAGCAAGCGCGAGTGTGTTGCTCGTTCTTACCCCCTTCACTCCCTTCTTGAGTTTGTCGTCGATGAACAGGGAGAGGTATTCTGGCGAGCGCGGGTTGAGGTTCAGGAAATACTCGAAGTCGCTCGAGATGGTCTGCTTGAACAGGCGGTCATTGCCAAATGACTGCTGGAGGAAGTGATCGAAGCGGTCTTTGAGGTCCAGAAGACCCTACGGGAAGTGAGAATCACAGACACAGATTCACAGACTGTTGGTGCAAGTGTTACTAGCGAGTAGCTCCTACCAATTCTAGATTTGAAGCTTTCGTGACTGCAAGGATTCATATTCTTAGGTTTTTTCTGTAAAGTCACGTAGGTAAAAATTCTTAATTAAAATTAATAAAAGTAAAATAAAATAAAAATCACGACGTTTCGGAGGCAACACAAGCTTCCGTCTTCAGGTGGAACCGTCACAGCATGACTGCTGCATCAAGTAAGAGAAATTCCAAGAAAACACTCCTTGTATATATACTGGTTGAGGGTGGGAGGAGCCATTGTGAGGTTCGGAGCGGCTGAAGCACGCTGCAAGGAATGAGCCTTTGTTGTGTAGACTGGTTGAAAAGGGAGGTTCCAAGAGTTGTTAAGGTGCGGCTGATGTAAAGGTGCGTTTGCTGTATTTTTTTACTTTTATTAATTTAAATTTTTGACTTACGTGACTTTACCAAAAAAACCTAAGAATATGAGCTCCTACCAAGGCTGGCACGGCATGCGAGCGGGTGAGCAGCCAGCACCACGCCTGGCCGCCTTGGTCTCCCCAGTGGCGATGTTTACATATTGCACGAGGTACTCATTTGAGACCGAGTCGACCTGGCAGAGGCTCAGGACCAGTTAAGATAATCACCACTGGTGTTGGCCGTGAGCGGGAATTGAATTCGGGTCGAGGGGCTTCACAGCGCAGCGTGCTAACCACAACACACAAACATCCTCCTTTAAACATTAAAGACTAAAGGACCAAATAAACATTTGTGACTGCAAGACGTCCTTGCAGTCATAGACACGACTGCACATGCTACGGTTGGAAAGTGTTTCCGTGGTGAAAATATTCCCTTCTATTGGCCAATTAATGCTGCCAACATCATAAGACCTCCTTTGCCAGTACCAAAATATAATAATAGCGGTTTTCCCCTTTTTTCTGGCAACAAAACTGCATTAACCACAATACTTGTGGTCAAATGCAAAAAAAAACAATATGATAATATATGCATTGTCCTTGAAACGGATTGGTCCACACCAGGGAGGGATTTCTTTGGTGTGGACCAATCAGTTTCAAGGACAATGCATATATTATCAGAGTGTGTTTTTTTGCATTTTGACCACAAGCATTGTGGTTAATGCACACATAATTCCTTGTAAAAGGTTTCAGTTTTGTTGCCAGAAAAAAGGGGAAAAACCCTATTACTATAATGCTGCCAAGATGCTAGCAGCGTTGGATACAAATTACCTTTCTGATGTACAATTGCAGTTATGAATAAACATCGTTTGGGGCCATTTCAAAGTGGCAGGACTCTGGCCGACACAGTTAGATTCACCAATCCACTCACTGCAAGTCCCATATGCTGGTCACATTAAGTTAACAGACCAGGATTGTCCGACTTGCAAGAGTGACCTATCACCAAAAAGGGCACTCAAAATGACAATCGAAATGACAATCCCCGATACGTGTCGACATCTAACCCACGACATCTACCAACCCCCTTGCCTCCAAAGCATTGGATTGCACTGGATTTACAGGCGTTTCCCATCTGTTCGCGCGCCACTGGAGGGAGATGTGCGCTTTTAAATCTGATTTAAAAACTAAATTTTTTTAGAACTGCTTTTTGTGTTTAGTTTGTTGTCCTTCTAACGCACCTCCGATTAGAGTACGGTGCGAAAGAAGTTCAACATACATAACACAGACTCGCAGAGACCAATAGACTCACACAGAGACACAGACTCGCACAGAGACATATATAGTTTGCTGTCCTTCCCTGCACGTCCGATTAGCACGGTTGGCTACGTACGGTGCGAAACAAGTTCAACACACACACGCACGTACCTGGATGTAGTCGACGGGATTCTTGCCCTCCCCCTCTTCCGTGACGAGCGCCTTGCCTTGCTCACGTAAGTAGCCGCTCATGCACTCGCACATGGTCTTCAGACCATTGGGCACGCGACCAAACAGCTTGTACATACACGCCAAGTCTGCGGGGACGAGAGAGAACACAAACATACACCCACCCACGCCAGCGCGCTCAGCCTTAGGAGTCCACAGAGGAGGCGCCGTTAGCGAGCACTGAATAAAGATGCGTCGGCAGGCGGACGCTCTCGGTACGTGTGCATTGCCAGTCATCTCAGTCAGTCAACCCCATGGCACGCGGGTCTTTCCCGTGACCTGCAAGGGGGCCTTCCGACACTTCACGTGGCCTTGAAGTGCACCTAGCCTGGTACAAGCGCCCGTGGTGACATCACCGCTACTTAATGGCGAATGCCGGTTGGGTGCTGGTTGGTCAGCGTGGGGAGCGGTGGTGTAGCGTTTGGCACATTGCACTACGAAACCAGGCCACTTGAGTCCGATTACCGCTCACGGGCAACACCGCTGGCGATCATCTGAACCAGTCCTGGGCCTCGCCAAGGTAGACTCAGCATCAAATGAGTAGTGGGGAGACAAAGGCTTCTGGTCGAGGTTGTTGGTCATCCATCCCCTGGAATATATGAAACTCCCCCGAGGTCGACTCAGCCTGAACAAAGACCACCTGGTGTGGTGTGTTAAAAAAAACCATCAGCACTGGGGAGACAAAGGCGACCGGCCGTGGTGTTGACCACCGCCCACCCTTGTGTGCTGTGCCGGTCTTCATAGGCGCTGCTCGTTAACAACCCCAACAGCCTGCTAAAGGCTGTACGGGGGATATTTGTATTTTGGCCGTGGACAATTGAATCTCCCCTTGCAACACTGCAAGTGCGAGTACAATTCATAGGTAACTTTGTGTATATCCCTACACCTCCGCAGGAGAGCGATTTACGCTGCGCTTTACTGTAAACTGACAAGAGGTCACTTAAAAGAAGTGACTGAGGTGCAACCAAAATGCTCACTCGGCATGTGCAATTCCCACCAGTGTACCTGCAATTCTACTACTGCAATTACAACGGAATTGTTTACAAAGCTGCGTCTCAAATGATGCAACCACCACACCAAAGATGAGTTCGATAAATCATACCCGTAAGCGACAAACACACACCCTAATGACTCACACAAGCTGACAAGTTAACGAGCGTAGCAATGTACGCCCCAAAGCCTTGATTTGTTAACTTTGTCCACCTACGTCTCCTCGTTTATCCGGTAAAACCTACCTCAGCTAGACAGACTGATACGGGGGCGATCCCTAGTCCAGTTAGCTAAAAAACGAATTAAGATTAATGTAAAAAACACAACAACAACCCTATTACTGTATACGTATGAGTGTAAATGTATAAATAAGAGTGTGTGAGATTATTATTGTACAAAATAACACCCAGAGAAAATCCACGCCATCACGGGGCGGCGGGCGGGGAGAGACACTGCAAACTCCAAATATACAGCAGCAGGCTTCAGGGTCGGAATGAAACCAACGACCTCCTGCATACCAGGCGAGGTAGTTAACATCTCCTAGCCACTGTAATGATGATGATGAGAGAGAGAGAGAGACACGCAAACTTCGAATATGCAGCAGCAGGCGTCAGGGTCTGGATCAAACCCACGACCTCCTGCATACCAGGCGAGGTAGTTGACATCTCCTAGCCACCGTGATGATGATGAGAGAGAGACACGCAAACTCCAAATATACAGCAGGTATTGTCAGGGTCGGAATGAAACCAACGACCTCCTGCATACCAGGCGAGGTAGTTGACATCTCCTAGCCACCGTGGCGCCCTACCCCCACTCCACCACCCTCCGCTGAGCTCACCTTCGGTCTTGCCGTTCTTCAGCATGTGCACGAGGCCCGAGTTCTCCATCTCCACGATGGTCTTCATGTGCTTGGAGATGAGCTCCTCCTCCACAACGTGCACAATCGGCTCCTCGGTCGACTTGTCCAGGTAGTGCACGGCACGTTCCGTCTCCTCCGTGATGCGCGCCTCCACCTTCTTGATGTAGACCGACGCGCTGTTCTCGGCCAGGAACTTCTGGCTCTCCATCTGCGGGCGGAGGGAGAAACGGCGTTGCGGCAAGCGCCACGGTGGTGAGACGGTGACTACCTCGCCATGGGTATACAGGAGGTCGCGGGTTCGATCCCGACCCCGTGACGCCTGCTGTATATTTGGAGTTGGTGTGTTTCTGTCTCCCCGTGGTCGCGTGGATTTTTCTCCAGGTTCTCCCTCCACATTTAGAATCAACATCACGCGTTTAGATTATGTAGCTGCTGCAGGAAATTTCCAAGCGATGAGCCACTTCGCTGGGCTATCATTTGTGGCCAGGTCGCTGCTGAAAAAGAGCTACATAGCTCAAAGGGTCTTACCCAGTCAAAAAAATAGTAGTTCTAAATAGTAATTATCACCGCTTAATAATGATACCGTGCCCCCCCAGCCCACGCGGTCCAGCTTTAGATGCCCTGCTGGAGGGGACCCCCAGCGACAGCTGTCCCTGTGTGGGTGCAAGCTCAACGAACGCAGCAACAGCCTGCAAGCGGACATAAAGCCTCCCAGCGGCGGGCCGATGTTACTTTGTATGCATGTATATTAAACTTCTTTCGCTCCGCACGTCGCCAAACATGCTGATCGGAGGGTCCCGCAGGGGGGGGGGGAACATGCAATTGAATTAACTTAAAATTGGCCACGTTGCACATTACAAACTTTTCTCTTTTTTTATCAAATGACATTGCCGCAAGAGGTAAGAGTCGAAGCTGACCTGGAAGAACTCTGCCGACATCCGCAGGAAGGGGATCTCGAAGTCCTCCTCGTACACGGTGCGGCTCTCGATGCCGAGCATGAGCAGCATCTGGCACGCGTTCCGGATCGCTCCCCTGCCGATGCGTCACGGAGACGCACACGGGGTGACGCACACGGGGAGACACGCACAGAGACACGCACAGAGACACGCACAGAGACACGCACGGAGACACGCACGGAGACACGCACGGAGACACGCACGGAGACACGCACGGAGACACGCACAGAGACACGCACAGAGACACGCACGGAGACACGCACGGAGACACGCACGGAGACACGCACGGAGACACGCACGGAGACACGCACGGAGACACGCACGGAGACACGCACAGAGACACGCACGGAGACACGCACGGAGACACGCACGGAGACACGCGGAGAGACACGCACAGAGACACGCACAGAGACACGCACAGAGACACGCACAGAGACACGCACACGGGGAGACGCACACGGGCAGACGCACACGGGGAGACGCACACGAAGACACACGCACGGGCAGACACACGGGGAGACACACGCACGGGGAGACACACGCACGGGCAGGCACACACACGGAGACACACACACATAACATCCATCACCACGTGCGGAATACAGCAGGACATCCCTAAGGTTGTTAACGTGCTATGGGGTAGGGGGGCGGACACATTCAGTTGTCTGGGGACAGAAAATCACATACAAGCTGGAAGGCAGCCACAAACACAGGTGCCAACAATTGCCCAAGCTCTGCAGGTCTGCCAGGAGGCAGTGGGGGTATACTTACCCATATACAATCCCCAGTTGAATCATTTGCAGGCAATTTATTTTATTAACTTTGGAAAATGTGGACCATGATGACGCTGGCACACAATGGCCCACTTTTGCGAATGACGTCGTGGGATCTGTAACGTCCACCACGAAGCAGACGAAGTTACATTTTTTTGTTAATGGTTAATACACCGGCAGTATTAACCAGGGCGGCCGTTGGATTTGAACCGTTTACTTCGGTAATAACCATTGGTGAACGCGCTGCCGGACCGCCCCCTCCCCCCGACCGCACAACCACTCACAACACTCCTACAGACAGCCCGTGCACCGTCGCAATTCCAACGAACCACCGTCACACGATTCCGCTCAACAATTGATTCTATTTGCCTTTTTTTAGTATCATCTTGTTTGTATCCCTGCTGGTTTTTTTGTTTCGTCTGTGTCATTTTGATCGCTCCGCGAGCCCGACTGTAGCATGAGCAGATTATCGACGCGCAACTTGCAGTCTTTAACGGTGTTTACCCACCCTTCTCAGGATTTCCACGTTGATCAACGATGTGAGTTTTTATCGCGTATTTCACACGAGCTTTGCTGGCTGTGTCTTTATTGATCAGAGCCTTTCCGTAAGCACCCACACGCTTGCACCGGCCCAACATTCCTCCTCCTCCTGCTCTCTCCCCTCTCTCCCCTCTCTCCTCCCTCCCCTTCCCTCTCACTCCTCACTCTCTCTCCTCCCTCCCAAGCCTCTCAAACCTCCCTCTTCTCCTCCCTCTCTTTTTTTTGTTTGAAAGTTGTCTTTGTTGCCAGTGACAATGTACAGGAACAATGAGACCCCAACAAAAAAACACATTACCGTCAACTCGGCGAAAGAATGAGCAAAGCTTTCAAGCAATGGCCATCAACCGAGGTACAGGGTTAACCATGTTTTTCAGTACGACGAGCTTACTAATGGCAGTTATTACAAAAATAAAACTTAAAAATAGGAAATACATATTACTAATTACAAAAATACAATTTGCAATAAGCCTGCTAGTTCTGATGGTCATATTTATTTGGCCCGTGCTTTTCAAACAGACATTGACTGGTTGAACCTTTACACCAATTAAAAACTCTTTAACATTGTTTTGTTCAATCTGAAGCAATTACATCTCCTGCCTCGCCTCCTCCCTCTCTGACCCCTGGGCTCGGACGAGGGCGTCGCGACCGTCACCGCCGTCCCCACCTGTCGACGACTTCCCCGCGGCGTTCACGCGCGATCATGTCGAGCAGCGTTTGCCGTAGGTGGTCTCGGATGTTGCCGTAGCGCACCACCTGGTCGCGGAAAATGATGAGGCCCAGGTTGTAGACGTTCTCCACGTTGTTCTGCAGCACGTAGACACGGTCCTGCGCAGCGCCGCGCGTACACGCGCGTGAGCCTCCGGTGTGTGCGAGTGCGGGGCAAACGTGCCGGCATGTGTGTGAACATACCAGCAAGTGTGCGAGCGTGTGTGTGTGTGCGTGCGTCTTTGTGTAAGCGCGTGCGAGCTTTCCAACGTGTGTGAGCGTGCACGAACATGTAAGCTAAAAACGTAACTGTTTTTATTTTTATCAGGCAAGGCCCACTGAGATATGTAGCTCTTTTTCAGAAGCGACCTGGCCACAAATGATAGCTCAACGAAATGGCTTATCGCGAGGAAATTTAGAGCAGCAGCCACAAACTCTAAACGAGTGTTTATAAATGAGGGAAAAACCAGAGGACCTGCAGAAAAATCCACCCGACCACACATTTTGATTCTAAATGTGAAGGTGAAAAAATTGGAGGGCCCGGGCTAAAATCCACACGACCACAGGGAGAGAGACATGCAAACTCCAAATATACAGCAGGCGTCAGGGTCGGAATCGAACCGACGACCTCCTGCACACCAGGCTAGGTGTTAACATATCCTAGCCACCGTGGCACCCTAACTTCGTTGAACAAGGCAACGTGAATTTGCGTGTTGCGCGGATACGGGGGAGCAAGTGACTGCGCGCGAGCGTGAGCGTGAGCGCGTGAGCGTGTGAGCACGCCAACGCACCATGTACATGAGGATGTCCCGGATCATCACCATAGAAGTCTGGTGGTCGTTCCACGCCTGGTTTAGCGTCTGCAGGAAGTTGTTGTTCAGTGAATTGAGCACATCTGTCCGCACCTGCTCGCCAAGAGAGAGAGAGGCAAAGACCACCCACGTTCATCTTTCAAACGCCGTTGGCGAGCAGCGGTTAAATGGGGTGCGCGAAGAGGTTGAGTGACCAGCATCACACCTGGCCGCCTTTGCCTCCAATGTACTGATGTTTGTACACCACACCAAGTACTCAGTTGAGGCTCCGTTAACCAAGGGGAGGCCCGGAACCGGCTGCTAATTCTGCATAATGCACGGGCATAAGTAGTACTAATCACATAACTGCATTTCCCATAAATATGCTAAATTCCTCTTGATATGCATATTCTTTTGTCAAGGCACCCTTTTTCCCCCCTTCCAACCCAGCCTATATACATGCTCCAAGCACGTGTGCTGTTTCATTCAGATGCTGTCGCCTCGACAGACCTGGTTTACACCTGAGGACGGCTGCTTGCGTTGTGGCCGAAACGTCGTGAGAATTGTTTTATTATGTTTTTTTTATTATTTTATTACTTCCCTTCTACGTGACTTTACCGAAAGAACCAAGAAGATGAATCCCTGCAGTCACGAAAGCTTTAAATCGAATTTTCATTATTTAATGTTTTATTTTTATTATTTTATTACTTCCCTTCTACGTGACTTTACCGAAAGAACCAAGAAGATGAATCCCTGCAGTCACGAAAGCTTTAAATCGAAATTTTATCGGTTCAGATAAGTGCAAGTAATATTGGCCATGGCCAGGAATCGAACTCGGTTACACAACAGTAAATTAACTAATTCACTACCACTCCCAACATAGTATGCTGAACTTGCCGCACCATTTGCAGCCAACCATGCTGATCATTTATACGTACAGACATCCCCAAAATCTCAGTGCCTCTGGCATGAAAGAGAATAAGTATAACCCGTAAAAACAAAGTTTTTCACTATAAATCCCTTATATGCGTGGCGGCTAGAGTCCTCTCGTCCTCTGGCTTGAGATGGCTGCCACCTATGGGTAAGATGATTGCATTGCACCATTAAGCAATTGGTAATTAAATATATTTTTGTCCTAAAAAGTGTAAAATTTAGGAAAAAAATTTTCACGAACATTAATTGTCACGCACAACGAGTCTGTGTGCAAAATGTCAGCTCGATTGGAACACGGGAAGTGGGTTATAAAAAAAGACCGAAAGATTTGCACGGTCCTAAGCAAGCAAGCGAACTTAATATAAAGGATTTAAAAATGAGACATCATTGAAAGACAGAGTACGATTCTTGCCTTTCATGATATTCGTGACAACAAGTTGAGGCACATTAGCCTTTAATTTAAAAAGGACAGGTGTTTTTTGTCTCCTGCAAAAAGACCGTAGTCACCATGAATCTTAAATCCCACTCATCATCGCAAAAAAAGCTCAAGCAGGCACGGACACCATCAAGGGCAGGGGGAACTAAATAGACAGTTCTGCTTGGGAAGCACAACAAACTATGGTGGCTCTGCGCGAGTTTATATACGCATATACGTATGTTGAACTTCTTTCGCATCGTACGTAGGCAACCGTGATAATCGGAGGTGCGGGGGAAGGACAACAATCTACAGGTGTCTCTGCGAGTCTGTGGGACTCTGTGCGAGTCTCTGTATGTTTGTATGTTGAACTTCTTTCGCACCTTACTAATCGCATACCTGTCAACTCATACAGTTTACCCAGATTCTTGTACAAGGAAATTGAGTTCAGGGCCATATGGCACACAGCCGTTTCAATACAGGCAAAAAAATGTAAAGAAATGTGTCTATTTGTTTGTGTTTCTCCCTTGTGATGGGACTTTGCAGGATGAACGTTGAGACTTAAAAGGGGCACGGGGTGACCAGTAAGGTTTGAATTGGTCTGTAATAAGGTCGGCACTGATCAGGGGTTGACAGGTATGTAATCGGAGGTGCAGTGGCAGGGAAGGACAACAATCTAAACAAACACACAGCTCTATTTCCAATCTGGCCTTCGAACCCACAGCATTAAAGTGTACAAGGAATGCGTGCGAATTAGCAATTTCCAGGGCTCAGGGTTGGGGATGGGGGAGGATATACACACAGCGGTGTGAAATGACAGTGCAGAGCTTTGCCGACTACTTCAGCCAATCGCCACCGTGGGGGGAATTTCTGGCCGATGACCGCGAGAAGTTTTTCTGCAGTCGCAAAGCCTCGGCTTTGTGCCAAAACTTGCCGTCACGATAATTCAGTGCTCGGATGTATTCGCCGCCGCCGGCTGTGTACAACGCATGCCCCCAAAATGTTCCGTCACGAAATGAGGTCGCGTACAATTGGAACTCTCACAAAAGGCAGAGTGACAACGCTCCCATGTTAAGACGTTAGCCTGTGGAATATTACGTAAAAAACTCCTTTAAAAAAAGTTTTTTTAAACATTTAAAAGTGCACTAAAAAGTCAATAACTCGATTGGACAACGGCAAGTGGACGACATCTTGATCACAAGAGACACGCGGCGACTGCTTTTTGTGCGAGCCGATTCCACAGTTTAGAGACCGCTGCGTTTTTCACCTACACAAAAATATAAAATGAATATGCTTGAAAGGAGGCAATTGATGAATTGATGGCGATTTTAATACAGGCATGCATTGTCACTGGATCTGAGTACGTGTGCAAATTTTTGAATTGATTGGACAACAACAGGAAGTAGACTAACTTTTGATTACAAGATTTGGCCACGACACAGCTTTCAAGTTAAGTAAAACCGTTGAAAAATATAAACTTCCAAGGTGCCTTCAAATACCTCCTATGCACCTTCACAAATGCCCTGCTAACGAGCTGTTTGTCACGCGGCAATCAAACTGTTGTCTTGATTGAAAAGAGAGCTGGAATGTCAAATAAAGCGACAAAACTGTTAATATTGGTAGGAACCACCTGGTTACATCAGCCCACAGAGGATTATTGTGTCCGTCCGTCCGTCGTGCATCCAAAAATGGGAGGGGTGGGGCTGGCTGGAGAGGGGAGGGTGGGGAGGGGCTGGGTAAGGAGGGTGGAGAGGGGCTGGGTGGGGAATGTGGGGAGGGGCTGGGTGGGGAGGGGCTGGTCACTCCGTGGTGCCCTTATAAAACTCACCGTTCAACCTACTCACGCCGGCTTGTGCCCGCCCTCACAGTCAGGCATATTTGCGGAATACACCACGCCACCGTTGACCCTGGCCACTGACCAAGCAACCCAAAATTCCTACCAGCTCCCTCCGCAGGAATGGGTTAGTGTTTCATTGCTTTCATGGCTTTATTTTGGTGATTTCGAAAAGTTTTTTGGTTTGGCCATGTTTGTTTGTTGTAGTACGTAGTTAGACTGATGGCCTTAATCTAAGTTGTCTTGTGGTTGTTGTTGTTGTTTGACTTGCATCCCACTGGGATTTTTGCACAGAGCGTTGGTGTACGGTGCTTTTTCTGCAATATTTAGCTGTTTTATCTTGGATTTTATGTTTGCACATAGTCACTTTAAGATGTTTTCTTGTTCATGTTTTAGTTTTTTGTCTGTTGCAGTTGCACCCGATTCAAGAGCCGAATGGCTCACAGGGCTATACCAAATAAATGAACTTGAACTTGAGAACCCAATTTAATCACAAGTGGCTGAAACCTTGATTACAAGCCAGGACCAGCGTTAGCCAACTTGTCACCTCCAAATATTCTTCATAAAAGTTTATAAATCAAAAAACCGGTTGCCTTGGACAACCGCTGCTAATTTGCTACGATTATCTGTCAAAACGGTAAATGAAAGAAGCAAAAAAAAACCTTTAAATTCTATAGCAAATCGGCTGGAATGTATTATCTGGGTGAAGATACACGGGTCAAGTTCACAAATGCAAGTGCCCAAAACCATCAGGAGGAAGTTGGATTCAGGGTAAAAAAAAAAGCCACTGGGGGCACGTCTCTAAACGGCGGAGGAGCGAATTAGTGCGCCATTTGCAACGCGATATTAAACATCCATACTGCAATCCTCGTCCGATCGATTTTTATACCTGCAAGGGGATTCTGCGGAATATTAACGATTAAAAAAATGCAACACGACCCGACACAAATTGCAGGAGAAATTATAGAAGCAAACAAACAGGTGCCGACAGCCATCGGCATTTGATGGCAGTGTAAAAAGACAACGCTGAGATGATTAAAAACCTTTACCCAGCCGGGCCTGAGACATTCCACTGTTATTTCAAGTCTCCTCGTTACAATCCGGCAGCCCTGAGCCAGCGGTAGGAAACTCCATATTTCTATGGCAGGTGTCAGCAACTAGATAACATGTATATTCTTGGTTCTTTCGGTAAAGTCACGTAGAAGGAAAACAATAGAATAATAAAAATATAAAACAATAAAATTCTCACGACGTTTCGATTGCAACACAAGCAATCGTCATCAGGTGTGAAAACCGCTTTTTCAAATTTTCTTGCTGTGGTTTTCACACCTCAGTTTAACACGTAGGCTTTCGCGACCAAAATTATTCATAATCAACGTTTTTGGGTTTAGATCGCGTTATTTATAAATGTGTCGTAACCCTCCACCACCCGACACGGCCAATCAGTAAAAAAGTGTCACGTTGACAAAGGACAAATAGTTCACTGCTTGAGCCCACCGGTGTGTTGAAGCGTGAAACCACAACATTTACAATTTGAGTACTCAAATTGTAAATGTTGTGGTTTCAACGTGACACTTTTTTACTGATTGGCCGTGTCGGGTGGTGGAGGGTTACGACACATTTATAAATAACGCGATCTAAACCCAAAAACGTTGATTATGAAGTTTTCACACCTGATGATGATTGCTTGTGTTGCAATCGAAACGTCGTGAGAATTTTATTGTTTTATATTTTTATTATTTTATTGTTTCCCTTCTACGTGACTTTACCGAAAGAACCAAGAATATGAATCCCTGCAGTCACGAAAGCTTTAAATAAAAATAGATAACATGTAATATATACTTATACCAACAAAGCCTCAGGTTTTTTTTTCCTGAGGGTCCTGCATTGGGCGTTTGTCCTATTGTAGGTCAAGGAGAATTTCGTATGCCAACAGATTAGAACGTTTGGCTACGTACGCACGTATGGCGCGAAAGTTAAACATACAAAATATCCAGTGAAAACCCACACACAGGGGATTCAACAGAAATTAATAGGTTGTGTGCTGATAGACTGAAAAATAAATTTCATATCCTTTGGGTCTTTTGGTAAAGTCACGTAGAACAATGTTTTAGTTTACAGAAAACTCCGACGTTTCGATCGCAACACAAGCAATCGTCATCTTTTTCCTCCTGATGACGATTGCGTGTGTTGCGATCGAAACGTCGTAGTTTTTTGTAAAAAACAAATTGTGTTCTACATGACTTTACCGAAAGACCCAAAGAATATGAATTCCTGCAGTCACGAAAGCTTGTCAAGATGAAAAATTATCACAATCCTAAACATGAATTAGAAGGGAAAAAAGTCTCCCCCTGTGCTGTATATATCTATGCTGAACTTCTTTCGAAAAGTGTATTGGTTTAGCCATGTTTGTTTGTTGTAGTACAGAGTTAGACTGATGGCCTTAATCTAAGTTGTCTTGTGGTTGTTGTTGTTTGACTTGCATCCCACTGGGATTTTTGCACACAGCGTTGGTGTACGGTGTTTTTTTCTGCAATATTTTGCTGTCTTTTCTTGGATTTTCTGTTTGCACTTAGTCACATATTCACTTTAAGATGTTTTCTTGTTCATGTTTTAGTTTGTTGAGGTTGCACCCGATTCAAGAGCCGAATGGCTCACAGGGCTACACCTAATACATGAACTTGAACTTTCGCACCGTGAACGTCGGAAGTGCGATGGAAGGACAACTAAACGCAAAAAGCAGTTCTAAAGAAATTAGGTTTTTAATCTAGATGATTTAAACGAGCATGGCTCCAGTGGCTTCCTAATACAGGAAAGAAAAGTGTTCCAGATGGCCGCCGAAGCACATCTGAACAAGCACGCAATGCGTTGACCGTCTTTGTTCGATGGCCAGCCAAAAGCCGCTGCAAGTATAACCGGAGTTTGCATGACGGTTTATGCAAACCATCACTTTCCAACATGCATTTTTATTCAACGTGTTAATTAATTAGCAGTAAGGAAACAAATGGGTAGGTGTCAGGACAAAATGCATTTATATATACGCATATAAGTCCTTTTTGTTTTGGCTTGTAACTCTAAGTTTTGGGCAGCCCTTTAAATTGGTTGAGCCGGTTATAACAAAGTAAGCTCCTAACAGCAAAACAACTTCCTACTAACATTACATTCAGATTGAATCATCATTCCAAGAGCTATAATTCCCCTGCCATCTTCCCTGTGACATACATACAAACAGACAAAGAGGACCAACACAATGCAACCTGATTCGGAAAGCATTAAAAAGATACCATTCTAGAATTGAACCACGACCTCTGAATCGTAATAATACATTAAATCGCTTGACCAGGGGGGGATGGGAGGAGTGAATCATTCATTCCAAGTCTAAAACTATGAATAAGAAACAATTTTTATTTCACCACGTAAGGCCCACAGAGCTATATAGCTCTTGTTCAGAGGCGACTTGGCTATCACAATTGACAGCTCAATAAAGTGGCTTATCGTCACGTCAAAATTTATAGCGGCCAAATACCCTCCACGCGTGATGCTGATTATGAATGTGGGGGGAAACTCCAAATATACAGGTATCGGGGTCGGGATCGAACCCATAACCTCCTGTATACCAGGCGAGGGAATTAACATCTCGCCGCTATGGCACCCAAAGTTAAAAGCCTGTGTGTCCCCAGCCATCAATTGCGAAAGACAAGAGGGAGGGAGGGAAGTCAGGCAGGTGCCTTCGCCGCTATGGTGCTGGTAGCGCAGTAGCAGGGGATCTGGTGATGGGTTTTTGGGGGTGATTTGTGTTTCTTGTTGGTGTCTATGAACACAGTAACACACAATGGGACTAATGTTACACGGGAAACTCGCGTTATATCTTTGATTAAAAAAAAGGGAGCACATAAGTAAAAAAAAAATACAAACAAACGACATGATGAACGAAGTAAAGTGCCGAAAGACTGAGCATCTTTCTCGTCTGATCGTTTTTTAAAAAAAAAGGAGGGAGGGAGGGAGTAAGTGAGTGAGTGAGGGAGTGAGTGAGTGAGGGAGGCGTTATTGCTGATGGACGCCATGCGGGGCCTCGTGCCTTATTGATGAGGTGTTCCGTGACGACCTCGCGCAGGCCCGTGTAGAGCTTTTCGCCGTGCTTGTGCAGCACCATCGTGTACGCGTTGCGGTACAGCTCCTCGAAGCTCAGGCCGCTGTTGTTCTTCTTCTGGATCTCCTGGATGGCGTTCTTGAGCAGGTTCCAGATGTTCGCCACGTACTTTTCGTCCATCGTCATCTGGAGGAGCGTGCCACCGCGTACACGCACAAGCAAGTTTCGCACCTCCGATTAGCACGCTTGGTTGAACAAAGTTGAACATACGTACACTTCTAGATTTGAAGCTTTCGTGACTGCAATGATTCATAACAAAGGCGCAGCCTGTGCTACAACTCGGTGGGCTCAACCATTATTATGCAGTCTATTCTTAGTCTTAAGCCTCACCTTACCATATTAATAAAAGTATGCGGCCCTTGCCCCACCACCATTTTCAACCATTATATAAACGGAGTGGTAGCGCTCCTACAATCTCTCATTTACTTGATACAGCCGTCGTGGCTGTGACGGTACCACCTGAAGACGGAAGCTTGTGTTGCCTCCGAAACGTCGTGATTTTTATTTTATTTTCATTTTATTTTACTTTTAATGTTTTTACCTACATGACTTTACCGGAAAAAACCTAAGAATACTTGCCTATAATTGAAACATTCTAGGTATGTGACAAAAATAAATACCGATTAAATGACAAGGAATTGAACTCTCACGCTCCGTGCTTCGTGTTTGAGCGAATATTTTTGGGGTTGTTGGTAGACTGGAGCAGACATGTGACTGGTCTCCAATCACTGATGGTTCCTCTTTCTTTCTCTCTCTCTCTCAATGTACTGTAGTTCCCAGCGTGCACCTTTCAAAAGGCTTCTTGTGACACTTTTCGGCTTTTGTTCCATTTCTGATCCATGGCAGAGCACTAACTAAAAACGCTCCTACTGGGGCACGTGCGTACGCTGAATATCATCTCATTCGCAAGAGTCCCAAATGCTCTTTTTTTTACGGAAATACATTTTTAACAGATGTACATATCCTATCGATTTCTAAAAAACACATTTGAATCAAACCTGCACTATTCAAGCAAATGAAACTAAGAAAATGTCAAACCGAGACTATCAGAGAAGTTATAGTAATAGGTTTTTACCCTTTCAACTTGTACAAAACTGACACCTTTATACAAGGCATCATTGTTTGCAATAACCACAACCAGTCAAAATGCAAACAAAAAGAAACAACTCTGATAATGATGATATGCACTGTCCTTGAAGTTGATTGGTCCACACTCGAGACAGCTTTTTTTAGAGCCTAGTCTCCATTGGTGTTGGACCAGATGACGCCAAAAGGCGTACAACTCAAAAACAGCGCACTATCAGAGTATTGAGAGCTCGGGGGTAAGCATTTACACTATGAGACCTCATTTACCAGTGGAAAAATATAGTAATAGGTGTTTACCCTTTCAACTGGTACAAAACGTTGAAAGGGTAAAAACATATTACTATATTTTGCCACTGGTAAATGAGGTCTCATAGTATCAGAGAAGTTGTTTAAAGGTCCCCTCTGCTCTCATGAGAAATCCTGAGCCAGTGGTGGAAATTCCACTTCTCTATGGCAAGAGGAGCAAGTCTTCCAGAGAGCTTCATTTGGAGGGTCCAGTCAGCAACCAACCGAGATATGAAATCGTGACATTCGAATAATAATATCGGTCACAAGTCCTCCGACCGCAGCATCGCTTGGGCTTGGACGTGGTTTGAATACGAAGGCAAAACTGTAATATGAGAGTACCGGCAAACATCACTCGGAATGTTATTGCGACACCTCTCAGCTGTTTGAGAAAGTTTAAAGGTTTAAAGAGGTTTATTTGAAATGTAATATCATCCCCCACTCAAGGGGGTACCCATCACAACATTATACAAACAAATCCAAAGATGAAAAAAGAGATAAAGATGAAAAAATAGAGGTACAAAAGATTTTAAAACAGCAAACGAACACCCATGAATACTACCAAAGGAATCCCGGAGATAAAATGCACAGAGATAAAAAGGTGGCTATTTTTGCACAATGCTTTGTTATCTTACACACCCAGTCATGAATGATACAAATTCTTGGGTGAGAAAAGCTGATATTAAAAAACACAGCAGTCAAAACTGTGCTCATAATCAGAAAAATCACGACAAATAAATGTTAGACACTCCAAAATTGAGGGTTTACATTTTTCATGTAAACCTTTTCCTTTTTTCAACATAGGCTCACGAAAATGTAGTTTAACATTTCTGCTTTTCAACATAGCCCAACAATATCGTTTGCTTCCGAAGACTTTCCATGAAGGCGAAGCCAAACGTGACACAACATATTTAGGATCTCCTTTTTGTATCGAGCACATTCTGAAATAATGTCACTCACTGAAGCCAAAGGAAAGCATGGCAATGCCAACTGCAATTTTTTGAATGATAAAACAAAGCTGGAATGGCCACATAAGTTGTGCACATCACTGAATGAAACAGAGGGGTTTTTTGTTTTGTTTACAAGGTAAGGCCCACAGAGCTATATAGCTCTTGTTCTGGAGTGATCTGGCCACAAATGATAGCTCAACAAAGTGGCTTATCATAACGTGATAATTTATAGCAGCCAAAACACGCTCAACGCATGTTGATTCTAAACGTGGAGGGAAAAACCGAGGACACGGAAAAAATCCACGTGACCACCATGGGGAGAGAGACATGCAAACTCCAAATGCATCGCAGGGTTGGGATCGAACCCACGACCTCCTATATACCAGGCGAAATATTCGTTTTACTGCCAGACGCAGGCTTTGTCCGTTTCCGTCGTGGCTTCCCCCACACGACTTCCTGTGTCTGTTCTTGCCTGCAAACACGTATGTGTGTGTGCATGGCTGTTCAAGGTATTCATATTTAGAGCAATGGGGTAGTTATTTGTCGTTTTGTATAATCTTGCCTTAAAACCGATGCAAACGTGGGTTCGATTCCAAGCTATGCACGCATCTTTTTGGTTCTTTCGGTAAAGTCACGTAGAAGGGAAGTAATAAAATAATAAAAATAAAACATAATAAAATAAATCTCACGACGTTTCGGCCACAACGCAAGCAGCCGTCCTCAGGTGAAGACCAGGTTTGTCGGGGAGACAGCGTCTGGCCGAAACGTCGTGAGAATTATTTTATTATGTTTTATTTTTATTATTTTATTACTTCCCTTCTACGTGACTTTACCGAAAGAACCAAGAAGATGAATCCCTGCAGTCACGAAAGCTTTAAATCGAAATATGCACACATCATTGAGAATTGGTATTTTGTGCCGACTGGATGCCTCCCCTGGGTTTGCTCAGCCTGAAATTATGCTTGAACGTTTGTCGGCAACGTGGGACAAATGTGAGTGGCAAGAATTGCTGATGGCATAAACACTTTGTGAAATGTTACAGTTAAAGTGGCTCACAGCTCAAACAAGCATGCGGACAAGCTTATGTCTGTTGGCAGTTGGAAGCCAGTAGTGGAAATTCCACATTTCTAGTGCAAGGGCCAGTCCCAAACAGTTACATTTCCACAAACTGATTCTCACGTTATTAAACCTGAATGGCAATTAGCCGAATCAACCTCAACCCGTAGTAGAAACTCAGAACCTGTCAATTGCAATTTGAGCACTCGTATGACAGCACGACCAACACTAAAGTACTCTTGGTTCTTTCGGTAAATTCATGTATAAAGATAAAATAATAAATTAAATAATAGCATACGACGTTTCGATTGCAACACAAGCAATCATCATCAGGTATAAATGAAATAGCAACAAAAATTCTAACCATCTTTATATGTGACTTTACCGAAAGAACCAAGAGTAATTCCTGCAGTCATGAAAGCTCCAAAATTAAGATTGAAACACTAAAGTACCCTTAGGTAGTCAACCAACAGCTACTGCCCCTAAGGGTCTGTAAGAATAAACTGGGATTTGTATATTTTTCAGCACATGTACTCATGTGCACAAAAAAAAATGCTGTGTTACAGTGGTTCACACACGACACAACAACCCCCAGCAACCTGGGTTCAATCCCAGGCCACACAGAGGAGGAGTGGGCCTCCTGTAAGACAATTTTGCCTCAAATGACTATCTAGTGTGAGTGGGCAGATATCAATGGTGGGGAAACAAAGATGACAGAGAACATGGTGCTGGCCACACCACTTTCTTGCGTGTATTGCAAGCCCTAATAGGTCTACACTCAAAGCACTTGATCCAACTAGTTGTGACGTAACATCCGAACTCGTGTGTCAGGGAAAACCAGCTCTTTGAGGTGAATACAATGTGCTGTGAGCAGGACTGGCTCCATCACGGGAATGTGGCATTTTCAATTTTGTCCCTTGAATGCTCTTACCCGGCAGTTATGTGGTACAAGTCAGGCAGCGTCTCAAAGCCAACATTGTAACATAACCGTACCACCGTCCAATGTAAATAAAGGCCGGAGGTCAATGGGGTCATCACGGTCAAAGACACCGACACCAAAACGCCTTGCCATCGCTTCCTTCCTTCTGCGAGATCCTGCAGCTGTTGCACAGTAAGACACCCAACCTCCGAGGCTAGCTCTCACAGTCCCATCACCAATACCGTCTGGATTGAGGTCTTCCTCATGTTACGCTGTTCACAAGTGTGCCGGAACGACCACTCTTAGAAGCTCATTTTCACCACCGTTTGGCCTCAAGGTACCCCCCCCCCCCCCACCCTAGGTCGCTGAGCTCTGAGTGCCACTCCAATGCCACCTGCCTCTGCAACCTGCCCTCCTCAATCTCGCACATGTGTCCCACCCATCACAAACTTCCCTCTTCCTGGGTCACACGCATTACATTAAAACATGTTTTTATAGAGTTTGCATTATCTTTGTTTCAATGACCTAAAAAATATTTTTTTATTTTACCAGGAAAGGCCCACTGAGCTATGCAGTAAAACCTTGGATTGCGAGCATAATTCGTTCCGGATACGTGTTTGTAACCCAAAGCACTCGTACATCAGTTGTGATCACGTGACGCTCGGCAGACAAAGCGTGTACACGTACTACTCGTATTGCAAGACCTCGCTCGTTTATCAAATTAATATTTATTTTTAAAAATTGCTCGTCTTGCAAAACACTCCCAGACCAAGTTACTCGCCATCCAAGCTTTTACTGTACACCTCTTTTTCATAGGCGACCTGGCCACA